ATTCACCCTAAAAGAATTCAGGTGATAAAAAATGTCAAAATGCCTATATGTAAACATTATGAGACAGTTTATTCCTTTTACAACTGGATTCATCTAACTCGCAAATCTGTTTGAACCCTATCATGATTATCTGGTATAAAGAAAGCAATTCATTTTCCCAAAACTTGTTATGTCATCCATTACAAACACTTTTATATTACAAGCTTTCAGACCCAAAAAGTTAATTCAACGTAACTTCGTTTACAAAATTTTATATCCAAACGTTTTGCTTACGTGCAAAAAAATTTCTGAAAACATAATTGTATTCCTCGGTTGTATAAGCAAAAACACATAGTATTAAAAGAGAACCAATGATGAAGGCGATGTTACAAATAGAACAATGCATATGTGGTTCTTTCGAAGATTTTTTTACAGCCCCACTATTTTGAAACCTATGTTATCAATTTTGTAAAAAGAGTAGTCAGGCGCCCCTACATAGCAAAATTGTCAATAAAAAACATGCCTGAAGACAGATGCGCTCACCCAAGCCACTATGAAAATGTTATTGCAAATTTACGAACCGATTTTGACAATGTTCAGTTCCAAGTAATAATTGGGCTATAATAGATTTTAAAATGTTAATTGTTATATATTAAAAAGGTACACCAAAATTTGAAATTGGACTCGATTACTCCAGAAAATGTTGTAATACATGTCCTGATTTAATAGAAGGAAGTTCAATTTATTTTAAAAATGGAAAGCATTTCACAGTTAAACAAAACAGGTCTTGTAAAAGTTCAAACGTCATTTATTCTCTAATATGTTCAAATTGTGAGGAATTCTATATTGGAGAGACAAAAAATGAACTGCGTACTAGAATGACTGTTCATAGGCAGCAAACCAACCATGAAGATTTAACAATCATCCGGTCTAACGACCATTTCCATCGTTGTTCAAATGGACGATTTAAGATATTTCCATTGTATATGGTGAATCGTCAAAATGATTTTCTCCGGAAGAAGAAAGAAGAATTATTAATAGTAAAAGTGATGAATTGAAACCGTTATTATCTTTTATTAATTTTCTTATATATATATATATATATATATATATAGCAGGGTTTAAGAACATCCGTTGTTCGACCTGCTAGTCAAATGCGTTTTGTTAAAATATACTTTTTCACTTTAATTTTTGGTCTTTTGGAAAATATTTTGTATATATATATACAAGTCTAAATTGAAAACAACGTTCAAACCTATGATTGCGTTGGATAAAAACCGCAATTTTTATACGTGTGCATGCAAAACAAATTTCTTGTTAGAGGGGTCTAAATACAGCACAAACAACATTTTCCAAAAGACCAAAAAAGTGAAAAAGTATATTTTAACAAAACGCATTTGACTAACAGGTCGAACAACAAATGTTCTTAAACCCTGCTGACTGCCATTGGCGATTGCCAAATAAACGGATCACCGATGTAATGAATGGATCCTAATTATAAATTTAATACTAAACAGAAAACAATAAACTTGCGGAAAAGATGGTCTACCGCAAACAAAAGGTGCAAAAGTTTTTGTACACCATAATTTTTTATCCGGATTTCGACAATTAATGTCTCTTCAGTGATGTTAGAAATCGAAACGGTATTTGGAAAGCCTTACAATGTACCTCAATTTAGGATAGACTCTTGAATTATGAGGAGTCAAAATAGGATGAACGGATTATATAAACCTGAAGGCAAATATAATACAAGCCCAAACGAAAAAATATAAACAAGTCTAAATTGAAAACAACGTTCAAACCTATGATTGCGTTGGATAAAAACCGCAATTTTTATACGTGTGCATGCAAAACAAATTTCTTGTTAGAGGGGTCTAAATACAGCACAAACAACATTTTCCAAAAGACCAAAAAGGTGAAAAAGTATATTTTAACAAAACGCATTTGACTAACAGGTCGAACAACAAATGTTCTTATGGAAGTACGTGTATATTACGAGTATATTATCTATCGTAAAGGATCGTAAGATACAGTCATATATATACATTGAAAAGTTATAAATTTTGTCCACGCTGTGCATAAAATATGAAAAAAATAAGGCTGAAAATGCGCTAAATATTTATATTCAATATGAATATTCACATTTTGTCTATTAAGACATCAAATTGTTCAAAAATGTTCTCTCCATAGTTTCCTACCGGTTTCACTGTTTCACGGTAGGAAACTATGGAGAACATTTTTGAACAACTTGATGTCTTAATAGACAAAATGAGAATATCCATATCGAATATAAATATTTAGCCCATTTTCAGCCTTATTTTTTTCATATTTTATGCACAGCGTGGACAAAATTTATAACTTTTCAATATATATTCTATATATATATATATAAGTACGTCTGAACCAGTGACGACTCTACAACAGATTTTATCCATCGGATCACCAGCAGTGATGGTGATACAAGGCTGAAAATATATTCTGTATATATAATTCGTCTAAACAACAGCCCAACAATGTTAGATCTGTAAATTTGCGGAAGCAAATTTTTTGTTCTTCCCTGGCCGGGATTCGAATTCATGCTACTGAGATATCGTGGCACCAAATCGCCTTGCACTATGCCCGACGCGCTAGACCACTCGACCACCTAGGCACTATAATAATAAAGCTTTCGGTGGCCGGGTGTTACCTTTCCTCGTCAGTTTTTAATCTAGCGCCGTAACACAGTACATGATATATAAGGCATGAAGATGGAATTGTTACAGATCAGCTGAATTATCTATTGTAAAGGATCCTACAAATTAATGTAAGATGCAGTCACAGAAATACTTATATTATAAGATGGATAAAATCTGTTGTAGAGTCGTCACTGGTTCAGACGTACTTATAATATAATTATTTCGGTGACTGCATCTTACATTAATTTGTAGGATCCTTTACAATAGATAATTCAGCTGATCTGTAACAATTCCATCTTCATGCCTTATATATCATGTACTGTGTTACGACGCTAGATAAAAACTGACGAGGAAAGGTAACACCCGGCCACCGAAAGCTTTATTATTATAGAGCCTAGGTGGTCGAGTGGTCTAGCGCGTCGGGCATAGTGCAAGCCGATTTGGTGCCACGATATCTCAGTAGCATGAGTTCGAATACCGGCCAGGGTAGAACAAAAAATTTGCGGAACAGATCTAACATTGTTGGGCTGTTGTTTAGACGAATTTTATATATATTATATATGACTGTATCTTACGATCATTTACGATAGATATTTAGCTAATCTGCAATCAATTCCATCTTCATGCCTAATATATCATGTACTGTGTTACAACTCTAGATTCTACTGACGAGGAAAGGTAACACTAGGCCACCGAAAGCTGAATTATTAGTTCAGTCTAGGTGGTTGTGTGGTCTAGAGCGCTGGACACAGTGCAGGCGCTGTTGTCACGATATCCCAATAGCATGAGTTCGAATCCCGGCAAGGGTAGAACAAACATTTGCTTCCGCAAATTTGCAGATTAGTTGTTGTGCTGATATTTAGAGTAATTATGAATATAATATGTGTTTTCAGACGTGTATCACCTTAACTGGTGATCCAATGGATGGAGTTGTCACTTGTTTAGACGTACGAGGAAAGGTACCACTAGGCCACCGAAAGCTCAATTATTAGTGTGGTCTACAGCGCTGGACACAGTAGTGCAGGCGGTGTTGTCACGTTATCCCAATAGCATGAGTTCGAATCCCGGCGAGGGAAGAACAAAAATTTGCAGATTTAACAATGTTGTGCTGATATTTAGAGTAATTATGTATATGTTGTGTACAAATTGTAATGTTGTACAGTATTTTTGTACAAGTTATCAGTATTTTGGGAATCTCTTTACATAATTAGATAAAATAAACACAGAGTCTTTGGTTAAGCTTATCACTGTTTTATTTCCACAACTACATGCTACAGTCTTGCACATAGTAATGACACAAAGTTTATACAAAAACACTAAAATGTATTTTGTGGACATAGAATTTGGTATTAGTAAAAAAATAAAAATATAATCTAAACCAATCAGGTGTCCATTGTAGTTTTATGACAAAGAGGACAGTGCCTAATGTTAGGTTGAAGTATATAAATTTGTGAGTAAAACATCAAACTGGATAATTATTGAAGATACACTTGTATCACCTGGTGAAAGAAGGTGTGTGTCAAAATACTGATAACTTGTACAAAAACCCTGTACAAATTATAATTCGTACGAAATTACAACTTGTACACTACATATATATAGCATGAGTTCGAATCCCGACGAGGGAAGGACAAAAATTTGCAGATTTAAAATTGTTGTGCTGATATTTAGAGTAATTATATATATAATATTTTTCGCAAGTTTATTGTTTTCTGTTTGGTATTAAATTAATAATTAAGATCGATTTCGTTACACCTGGTGATTCGTTTATTTGGCAATCGCCATGGTAGTCCGCAGGGTTTAAGAACATCCGTTGTTCGACCTGCTAGTCAAATGCGTTTTGTTAAAATATACTTTTTCCCTTTTTTGGTCTTTTGGAAAATGTTGTTTGTGCTGTATTGAGACTCCTCTACAAAGAAATTTGTTTTGCATGCACACGTATAAAAATTGCGATTTTTATCCAACGCAATCATAGATTTGAACGTTGTTTTCAATCTAGACTTGTTTATATATATATATATTTATATAACATATATAACACACGCATTTAACAAGTAAATTGTCTGATTTCTAAACTAATTAACTTAAGATTCAATGCATTACCACATAAGGAGACAAAGTACGACTTTTTCATTTCTACTAACAAATACAGCGAGGATAAACTAACTTTTTGTCATACTATACTTGTTGTTTTCTTCTATTTCTAAACAAACTGGACGGCATCGCTTCGAATGTTAAGACGATGATGATGACCAACCGTGCAAGACCCTCACGAGTAGTCAAAGCCCTAGTAGTGATGATTACAAAAGGTTTTATCAAGTTAAAGTACTAAAAAAAAAGCATAAATGTGTTCTTCCAATTTTATTCATACACTTACAATGTTTATATAATACACTATGTAAAAAGTAAAATCACAAAAATACTGAACTCCGAGGAAAATTCAATCGGAAAGTCCCTAATCACATGGCAAAATCAAATGACATAACACATCAAACGAATGGACAACAACTGTCATATTCCTGACTTGGTACAGGCATTTTCAAATGTAGAAAATGGTGGATTGAACCTGGTTTTATAGCGCTAAACCTCTCACTTGTACGACAGTCTCATCAAATTCCGTTATATTTACAACGATGCGTGATCAAAACAGACATGTTTTCTTGTTTATAATAAATAAAATAGTCAAAATATGGGTACAGCAGTCATCACTGTGTTACAATCTCAAAAACAAACAATCATTTACAAAAAAGCACAAAAGCATCTATCAAATTAAAAACATCATTCATTGCTTCGCTTCGTATAACTTTGATAACCTATAACCATACACAACGTTTAAATATTATCTACAGTTGAAGACGAGTATTTCTCGACAGCCGAAATTCGATATGTAAAGTTTGTCATACGTTTTGTTAAAGCATAACGCCAGAGGTTCATTAATACAACAGTCCTTAGTCAGTATGACTCGGTCAGGTGTACCATCAGGGTGTAATCTCTGAATTTTTCTAGTGTATCGTCCGACTATGTATACATTGTCGTGTTGGTCGGTTGTTATGGTTCTGTGATTTTCTTCGTCTTTGATACTGCATGAAAAAGCTTGTGTCCCATCTTTCTTAATGCAACTTGCATTACCCCAATCTGTACAATAAAACTGCTTCCTGGTTTCTAGATAATGGATATAATTTAAAGTTTCGTTTTTGAAATTGACACCACTTAGCATGTTTCCTTCAATATCTAGAATGTAAATCAGTCCTGTTCCACCAACCATGATATTATCTGAGGTGGATGTTATACCGAGTAGTTTTGCGTTATTTGTAGTTATTGTTATTTGTTTACCAGGTGATAGCCTTTTTAAATCTATAAACTGAATGTTTCTTGTACCGAAGGTGACAACAGCTGTTGGTTTGTTTCGTATGACTGTGATATCCCAAGGTGAAGACGACATCTGCACTGATCTTATGTACTGGTTCGTTTCATTGTACACGAGTACTTCATAGCATCCATAATCACATAAAAGTAAAATGTTGTCATCAGTAATAGCCATTCCCGTGATGGTTTTACCGGAAACATCAATTTTACTTTGCAGCTCTAAAGTCTGACATGTTGTTTGTACTGACAGGGTCTGGGCCTGGCGTTGTTTTGGTGAATGATACGATAAAGATGAAAGTTCTTGTTTTACTGCCACATTTCCAAACGATTCTATTTTTGATAGTTCATCGGATTCTCGAAATTCCAGCCTTACATCTTTAAATTTCTGTTGTCTGTTCTGTAAGTCTTCTTCTATTTGTAAAATATTATCACTCATTTTTCGGATGAAAATAAAGGAATGTTTTTCAGGGACTTTTTCTGTTACAAAAGAAATGTCTTTTTGATACAATTCAGCTGTTTGTCGCATATTAAGAACTTTATCATGTTCGCTCTTAAGGCATGCAGACTCATCTTCGATAATCCTGTTTATGTTTCTAATAATGGTTTTTTCAATTTCATTGATGCGTTGAAGAAGTTTTTCTTTTATGCTTTTTATTTCAGTCATTATTGTCTTTCCTGTTGTCTGTAGGTCATTCAAGTTTTTATCTCTGTTTTTCAAAATGCTATCTATTGATTTTAAATAAGCACGCAATCTTTCTTTGCAGTCAGTATACACTTCTGACTGTTTCACATGCTCTGCTGCAGTTTCTAATGACACAGTTTTGTTACATGATTTGTGTGTCTTCGCGAGACAGTCACGGCAGCAGATGACATCATGATCTGTACAAAAGTACTCCAGTTGCTTTCCCGGGTGTTTGACACATTCTAGACTTGTAATGTCACATGGGCACGATGATTTCTGAGTAAAATCCATTATGTGGTGAGTTTTAGTAGCTTTTGACAGCCTGTGATGCTTTGAACACTGAGAACACAATGCTTCGTCACATTCTACACACCATTTTTCAGCAGGACTTTGCTTGTTGTCACTTGTACATGGCTCGCAGAAAGGTTCAGACGACATATTGAAACCTACAAAAAAAGTAGTAATTATTGTTGTATTTGATTAAATAAACATACATTTTCAGCAGGAAGTTTTCTGATGTCAACTTAACAGGGTTTGCAAACGGAACTGCAAACTATTTAGAGGTGAACAATTATGAATTTTTACATGTTTTATATATATGGCATATATGTAACACTCTCAAACCTGTCCATCCTCCGAAACGTGTCCATTTCGTACAAACGTGTCATAAAAATCACAAATCGCTAAAACGTGTCCAATTTCATTTCACCCAAACGTGTCCGGTTTTTTTTCTTCGCTCAAACGTGTCCAAATTTTACCTCACCTTAAAATGTTTAACATTTTTTATCAGCAGAAACGTGTCCATTGTTACGTCAATGACGTCTATGGAAGTCATAAGAAGGTTGTGCCCTCCGTAAAATATTCAGTATATGCACTTCGGAATATACAAGTATTGTCAAACTTGTAAAATATCGGATTAGTACCAGACTTATCATAAGGGGCTCGATTGAAAACATCAGGTTTTTGCTAGAGTCCAAAAGGCAAACAAAAGTGCACATGCTGAAATGTCTCGCCTGCTTTATTGACCATTGATTTTATGTTGATAGTCCTAAATATAAAGGTTTATTACAAGTATCACATAAACTTAACATGATCCAAGAAAATGAGGTCAAGGTCAGATAAACCAAACCGGAAATACATGTACACCTTACAATCATTCCATACACCAAATATATTTGACCTATTGCTTATAGTTTATAAGAAACAAACTTAACCAGGAAAACTTAACATTGACCAATGAACCATGAAAATGAGGTCAAGGTCAGATGATACCTGAGAACCTTGCAAAGTACGCACATACTAAATATAGTTATCCTATTACTCATAATAAGAGAGAAATTAACATTACAAAAAATCTTAACTTTTTTTTCAAGTAGTCACTGAACCATGAAAATGAGATCAAAGACAATGGACATATGACAGACAGAAACTTCATAACATAAGGCATCTATATACAAAGTATGAAGCATCCAGGTCTTCTACCTTCTGAAATATAAAGCTTTTAAGTAGTTAGTTGCCGTCGTCGCCGCCGCCGGATCACTATCCCTTTGTCTCGCTATCTACGACAGAAGTCGCAGGCTCGACAAAAAATCAAACCCGCTATCCAAGAACTTCAATGCAGCCTAGTTAGTTTGGTAACAGTTCCCGGAAATTAACAGCGTAACTGAGTTACAAAAATAAAATCCAAATGGATACCTCGTAAAATTGCAGAGATTGTCAAATGACTCACAGAGAGGATAAAAAATATACAATTTTATTTTGTCAATGAATCAAGGCGGTGTGAAAATTTTAAGTTTAGTCATAAAAATTCTTGACATTAGAAGAAATAAAAGCCCAAATTATAAAATCCTACAAAATGTATCTACTATATAATTTATTCTCGTCCTGAATATCCATGAATATTGCAATCGACGTCAAGCAAGCAACTATCTTATCAACTACCATATGTTTCTTTGGCATTTTTTTTATTTTCAAACACATAGAATAGCTTTAAAGGAACAAGGTGGCTCATTTAATAAGTTTCAATCTAATGACAATTATACGCTTCTAATAAATTTTTATTACATTTTAATATAATGTTTTTTTAAATCGGTAGGGGCCTCGGTGGCCGAATGGTCTTAGTAGTTCAACTACAGCGATCACTAGCCTGTCAACACTGCGGTTGTGAGTTCGAACCCCGTTCGTTGCAGGTGCGTTCGACTCCTATCTTAATTGACTAGGTTACCAGTTTTACTGCCGAAAGACGGTTGTACTCTCTGGGCACTCCGACTTCCTCTATCAATAAAAAATGGTTGCAACGATATAGACACGAGTGCTGAAAGTGGCGTTAACACCACCAATCAATCAATCGTTTATAATCGATCATTTAAATAAAATAGCCTAAAACGTCTTCATTTTCCTAAGAATGACATTTATGTATTCCAAATTGTGCTATCCACGAGAATTTATGCATATTTCGTATTTTAAATCATGTTTACAACCAATAACCTTACACTTGCACAAACGTATAGCTACATTCATGATATCTTATTTGCTATGAAGCCAGGATTACTACCTGTATATCTGATAGAGATTAAATTAAATATAAATTGTTGTGAAAATAACCATAAGTATATCAGATAATGGAATGCATCATGCGTGCGGATGGAGGTGAATTAATGCGCGTCCATTTTGATGTTACATTATTGATAGATCAAATATCACTTAATATCAGGGACTGTGGGTATTTTCATATCTGACGTATAACGTTAAAAATACAATTCATTAACTTTAAACAGCAATTTGGTTTCGGTTTCACTGAGAATTTCTCACTTTTACATTTTCGGGATAAATATTAAAAATTTGCCGAATTCTGTCCCACTTGCGGTCAGTTTGTGTTATCATCAGGCATTTTAACTTTGGTCCGATGATCTATTTGGCATTAGCCATATTAATGTAATAACATGTAAGTACACTCATGGAGCTCTGATACTCACAGTGAATTAAAGTAAAGATTTAACGATAAGTTTTTAAATTGCCGCTATTATGAAATAGATGCAGGGGTAAATTGTCCCTACCTCTTTGATTTTAAAGTAAAATCTACCTTTTATATGAATACGCATGTACAATAGGAAGACAAATTCTCGGGAGGGCGTCTGTTTGATAATTTATACACAGTCCGGTTCTTTGATTCAATATCCGGCGTTCAGACAGTGCCTCTCACCTTATCGTCCTACAATTGGTTCAATATTCGATTGTGGACATAGGTAAACAACTGCAAGTATACTTCTAGCAGTCTGGAGAATGAATTTTGTATGATTCATTTGCCAGCCATCAAATAGTGAGTTCATCCGAGTTAACAGTACGTCAGTGCTTTGATTAATTTTGTTTTAACGATTTATCGATGACCCTTCTTACGTAATATAAGCTATTGTTGCAGATCCCAGTGTTGCAGATCTTGATGGTATCTGGTAGGTTTTGGTATATTACAAACGCTAACAAATATGCTATTCGTTCATTTACTTCAATTGACGATGAAACAATCGACTACTTTTGACGTATCACGGTATATTTTCAAATAACGGTTTATTCTTTGAGACCTCTAACGAATCACGATAGGCCTAAGGACATTTCACGAAACTCGATAAAAATGTAATCAATTTAACACTTACGGTTGGTGGAAATAACTATATTTAACGACTGCGGGTAATAGGCATTTTACCGTCGCGTGGTGAATTCTTTTTCGTGAAATAATGTGGACACGTTTGGCACTTTTTAAAATATGACCATGATTTGGAGTAATGAAAAAGACACGTTTCGGAATTTTACAAAAGCTAGACATGTTCGGCCGTATAGTGACGTCATATGGACACGTTTGGGGGATTGGACACGTTTTGAGTGTTACAGATTAAGAATTTACCATTTCATTTCTAGTTGTTAATGAAAGCTGTTGCACCATTGTATCAGTATTTCATATCTACTGTATCTTCAAATAGAATCCTTTTATTGACCCGTCCTTCAGAAATTTATATAGATAAAATTGAAAATGAGGTTATGTTATGATCCGTGACGTTCTACTCCAGAATTCGCCCGATCGATAACTATTACATGCATTGCTCAGTAGTATTAAAATTAAGTATAATATCGATCTCCTCTTAACTGTTAAAGAATTGTATGAGTCACATATATTCTCGAAAATTACGTATACTTACGAAAGTTATCTGTTTCGGGTCTACAAACTGTGTCTATTATGAGGACAAAAAGATTTAATAGATAGTCATGTGATTGAATATAAATTCAGGGTCGATTGTTTCTATACAGGTAAAACTCGAGACCAAAACAAGTATAAGCTTTCTAAAAACCGTGGCTACCTTTACAGTCCAAGTGAGAAAATATTTATTGATCACGTTTCAACTCCGTTTTGTGAAAGATTAAAGTTTATGATCACAGACCATATTCTAGTTAAAGAGAAAACACCAAAGAAGGTGCATAATTGGTGCCCACTGGAATACCAAACCAGCATATGTTAGAAAAGGTGGTAGATGGAGGAATTTTGAGCCATAAAAGTGTCCTGTGAAAAAGTGTCCACCTGGACACTTTTTCACAGAAAAGGCATATTAAATGTGTCCGATGTTGTGAAAAAGTGTCCATTCAATCGGACATAATTTCATGATAAAATACTATTTAATTCTCTCCTGTAAAGGTTGATTTTCAATTAGAGGAACTTTTTCACAGTAAAAAGTGTCCTTTAAAGGAAGATAATGAAAAAGTCACTGCAATGTTTTACCGATATTTAATTTTGGATACTAAAACAAACCAATTACGAACCAGTTATTATTTGATATAAACAACAATGGAAGGTGTTGAATTCCTGTCACAACCCCTGTGAAAAAACAAGAAAGACCAAATGTAGGAAGAACACAATTTATATATGAGTACTATTCTTGAATATTACATGATTTTGTAAATTGAAATGAATTACGTATATATGTATTATTATGCTCATAGTTCATAAATGAAGTTCTATTAAATGTATTACTGTTTTTGTGTGTATGCGTACATGTTTTATTGTATAATTTATGTTTAATTAGCCATGGTGATGATCACATTTTTTTTAAGCAAAAAAATAAAACAGCCTTTCAAGACGTCATAATTATTTGGATTTGGACTAACATTTTGTATGCATTCAATACTCCACTTTACATTCCATTTTTGTTTTAATAGAGACAAAACCCCTATTGCATTTAGTATTAGAAAAAAAGACCAAAACTCAAAAGCTTAATTTTGACCACTGAACCATGAAAATGAGGTCAAGGTCAGAAGACACCTGCCAGCTAGACATGTACACCTTACAATCATTATATACACCAAATATAGTAGACCTATTGCATACAGTATAAGAAAAAAAGACCAAAACATAAAAACTTAAATATAACCACTGAACCATGAAAATGAGGTCAAGAACAGATGACACCTGCCAGTTGGACATGTACACCTTACAGTCCTTCCATACACCAAATATGCTAGACCTATTGCTTCTAGTATCTGAGATATGGACTTGACCACCAAAACATAACCTTGTTCACTGATCCATGAAACGAGGTCCAGGTCAAGTGAAAACTATCTGACGGGCATGAGGACCTTGCAAGGTACGCACATACCAAATATAGTTATCCTATTACTCATAATAAGAGAGAAATTAACATTACAAAAATCTTAACTTTTTTTTCAAGTAGTCACTGAACCATGAAAATGAGGTCAAGGACAATGGACATGTGACAGATGGAAACTTCGTAACATAAGGCATCTATATACAAAGTATGAAGCATCCAGGTCTGCCACCTTCTAAAATATATAGCTTTTAAGAAGTTAGCTAATGCCACAGCGGCCGGATCACTATCCCTATGTCGAGCTTTCTGCGACTAAAGTTGCAGGCTCAACAATAAAACTGTTCAAGAGGTACATGTAGTAAAAAATTAAAAAATTAAATAAAAATAAAAATAAAATATATACAAATACATTGCAGAAAACAGAATCTTATCAGGACTGTGTTAAGTACTTCTTGATACTTTGTTCAAAAGTAAAAGTGTTTTGAGCTTTATGCATTTTGTGTGGTAGTCCATTCCATAACACTGATCCAGAATAAACAAAAGATTTCTTAAATAGCTCAGCTTTTGGCTTAGGAACTATCAGATTACCTTGAGTGACACCTCTCAAGGAGTAAGGATTATTATCTGATTTCAGTTTAAACTTTTGAACTAGGTACATTGGTGATTCCATACCCATACATTTATATAGAAATAAATATTTGTGGTATTTAATTCTATTTTCAACTGTCATCCATCCAAGTTCTTTAAATAAGGGGTCTGAGGGGGATAAAGGATCTGCATCTAGAATTAATCTTGCTGCCCTTTTTTGGAGTTTAATATTCTTGTTATCCCTTCATTTTTACATTCACCCTAAATAATACAGCAGTAGTCAATAAGGGGCAGAATATACCCATTGTAATATGTTTTCCTAGCATTTGTATCTAAAAATTTCTTTATTTTAGAAAGAAGGTATATTCTGGATGATATATTAGCACAAACTTGGTCAATTTGATTTCTCCAGTTAAGTGTGCTGTCAACTTTAACACCTAATAATTTTTCACATGAAGAATTTTGTAATATTTCAAGTACGAATTAAATAAGAATGTTACCTTTCTCCTGTTACCTTGATTTGATATAATAATAAATAATTAAAGAAAATGTGCTGCTAACTTTTTTTTTTAAGCAAAATAAGAGGGTTATCCTAAAATGCTTAAGATTTCATGCTAGCAATTCACTAACTGTGTAAATCAATGATATTCCAGTCATTTGCATAAAAACAACAAGACTTCTATACACTATTCTAACAATTTATCAAACTTCTCCTGGTCATGGCAAAATGTCATTTAGAAACAAATATATACAAGTATTATATAAATCATAACAGGATAGAAAAAGAGAGATTGTGAAATGAAGATTGGCAATATACTCTAAAACCATAATTAATAAAAAAAAATATACATCTTATACTGTGAAAGTACTTTTATTCGTGGGTACCAATTTTTGTGGTTTGAGCAAAAGTTACATGTTCGTGGGTTCTTAAATTCATGGATTTTAGATTTCTGAAGAAAAAAAATCGAGTGAAGAATATGAAACCATCAGAAACGAAGGTTTTTGAAAATAATCAACTGTTGTTTTATATTGATTTGTGCGACATTTGCAGGAAAATAAGGTGTTCATTTTCACTTACTTGATCCTCTTTCATTAATGACAGCATTCATTAAATTTTTAACAAAATAATTGCTTTCTGATATTAGCTTTGCTTACAAATTGTCTCGATTGAAGGATATTGCAAAGTTAACATTTTAATTGTTGCACACATGAAATCAGAAGTGATGACACTAATTTACCTGAGATCAACAGATTAACGTTCATCAAAGGTGTTAATTGGGCCATAGACAATGTCACTTAAAGAAAATGGTTACATAAAAAAATGCTACAAATGTTATTTGAATTGTAAATTTTAATTCTTTTGAAATAAAAAAAGCAAGCCCAGTATGATTTTTTTTCATGTGAGAATTATGAGGAGATAAAATTAACACAATATCATACGGCATATCATCACCGGAAATCTGACTCTCACCGATCAAAACTATTATTTTTATTAGAATTAAAAGGTTAAAAGTCGTACAGTTTAGTTTTTTTTTAGGATTAAAATTTTGTCTGAAGTTGTAAATAAAGTTCATAGTGTGTTTGCTTATATTCGATGTATTTTCTAGATTAAATCAACAATGCCCGTATCCATGTATATATAAAAAAATAGTCAAACCTACATGAGGATCTTTCCATCTATGTCTTGATTTAGACAACAGTCGTTATATTTCCTTGGACACTTAAATTCGTGGATAAAGCCATCCATGAAAACCACAAAAATTGGTACCCCACGAATAAAAGTACTTTCACAGTAATTAATTTCCACCAGGTTCCACAAAAGGCTGTTATCTGACAAAGAAGGCTACAGCACAAAAGATAATAAAACTCCAAACAATTTTGTCTTATAAAGTTAAAAGGATTTAAAGACTTTAAAGTCAATAACTACGTTTTGTGGTCATGTGTTCCATAGTAAATAGATATATATTTAACTCATGAATTTTTGTGCAGGAATGTATTTTCATTCCATTATTTTTCATAGTTATACTGCATCCTCTAACTTCATTTATGGTAAAGTTTGGTGTAAAAATTGTTAATGCTGTCCTGCAAAGGTACAACTATATGTAGATTCTATGATCCTAACACTACTATTGCTGTGCAACAAAATGTCAGAATGTGTACCAAGACCTGACAAGTGCCCTCTGAAATTATTGATTACTCCTACAAAAGCTCATAGTACACCTGAAGTCCTTTTTTGGTCTTTTGGAAAATGTTGTTTGTGCTGTATTTAGACCCCTCTACCAAGAAATTTGTTTTGCATGCACACGTATAAAAATTGCAGTTTTTATCCAACACAATCATAGGTTTGAAAGTTGTTTTCAATTTAGACTTGTTTATATTTTTTCGTTTGGGCTTGTATTATATTTGCCTTCGGGTTTATATGATCCGTTCAACCTATTTTTACTCTTTCAAAATTCAAGAGTCTATCCTAAATTGAGGTAAATTATATGGCCTTCCAAATACCGTTTCGATTCCTAACATCACTGAAGAGACATTAATTGTCGAAATCCGGATATGGTATACTATTTTTTGCACCTTTTGTTTGCGGTATACCATCTTTTCCGCAAGTTTATTGTTTTCTGTTTGGTATTAAATTAATAGTTAAGATCTATTTTGTTACATCTGGTGATCCGTTTATTTTGCAATCGCCAATGGCAGTCAGCAGGGTTTAAGAACATTCTTTGTTCGACCTGCTAGTCAAATGCGTTTTGTTAAAATATACTTTTTCCCTTTTTTGGTCTTTTGGAAAATGTTGTTTGTGCTGTATTTAGACCCCTCTACCAAGAAATTTGTTTTGCATGCACACATATAAAATTGCGGTTTTTATACAACGCAATCATAGGTTTGAACGTTGTTTTCAATTAAGACTTGTATCAACATCTAATATATACATCTGTGTATTCAATAATAAGGTGAAGGATTGTGTATTGAGTTGTATAATTAAGGGTCTATTTAATTATGTATTTCAATTCAATTCAACGTTTTATTAAAGTCTCATCTCTCAACAAGTACAATCATATTTATAAATTATAAAACAATACTACATAAAATGAGAGCCATTCTATACAGAATTATAAGAGACTATTGAAATGCATAGATATAATACATTAAACAATATTAATAAAGTACTATATACAATAAATAAAATTTTTACATCTTCTTAAAATTAAATAACAGGCTTTGGCACACACATGTATCATATTTACATCTCTGAATAAAAATACTAATTTATGGTTGAAAGACTGATGCTGATTAGTAATTTGGTCATTATGATTGGCATCTAAGGAAGTGGGACATTCTAATCAAGGTCCCATCTTGTCTCTGACTGTTTGATGATCATGACAGTTGTCAATCATACTGTGATGACACTGGTATCATATCATTACTCCTACCTATGGTAATTAAAATGACAAAAATAGCTGGCAAATTGACAAAACTAAAGACAAACATATAATCAAAGCATCGTCGATGTTGTGATCCAGCCATATTCATAGCTAGTCTGATATTCTTTCTGACCATACTTTTTTCAATATTTTTTTCTCTTTTTATTTCCAGTCTTACTGTAAAATTTCTATGTTATTGTCCAAAGGTAGGGAATTTCGCAATATTGATGCAAATATTGATATATATATATTGATATTTCAATTTTAGACTCTGTCAGATTTTTTTTTTTTTAAATATTTGCAATTTAATGGAATTGACATGAATGGAAAGGGAAATCGTCAAACAAGTAATATATTCTTTTATATGCCATTATTAATAATTGGCTTGATAATTTCCAGAAAGAGGCCTTGGAAATGCACTTTCTCAACAACAAAAATTTAAAGAAATAATAACTATTTTTATCTAAATTGGTGTTCATTCTTCATTAAGAAAAAATACATTTCCTGTATTCAAATTTAAATGTTCAAAAACCTAATGCGGAGATATTTCCAATTGCTGTTAAATAGCAATATAATGGGATATAAATGTAGAACAAACAAATAAATTTTATTGCAGAAAATGCTCAGGTAAGAGTTATGCAATTTTGTTTATTGTTTCAACCAAATTTCTGATAATTGTAACTAATTAATTAGAACTTGAGTATTGACTTATGTCAGATGATAATGACACTGACTTTACAAGTAAAATAAAATTTGCTTGCATTTTTTATACATATTTTTTTTCATTTTTTGTCTTTTCTTTGAAAAAAAAACATCTGAATATCATTCACCTAGCTAGCAAAATTAACTGAATATTTTAATGTAGTGTAGATCAAAATAAATAATACATTTGTAGGTTTACTATTGAGATCAAGAATGTGTGTATTCAGTTAGGTGTATTTAATTATGTAACAGGTCATGAGATATTAACTGTGGTGAATTAAGACTGGGGTTGTTTTCAATTTATACACCTTTGAGTGTAATTATTTGAAAATCATGACAGTTGATAATCATTCTGACTCTTACTTATCTATGGAAATAATTTGAGTAATACCATTTCAAAAAAGTGTGGGAATCAACTTAGATATATTAATACACATGTTGACCCAAATTTCATTGAACAATAATTTACACAAGCATAAGATACTAATATAATACTTTCAAAATTCTTATCAACTGATTCAATTGATGTACAATACTTTTTCAAATTAATTCATAAATAGTAAATCATCATAAATTTTGATTTACAAAGGAACTATATGCAAGTGTATATCTAAAATAAAAGGGTTGTTCAACCAATCTTTTCTTAATTTAAGGGCAAATAACATGTCAAAAGTTGGCAGTTGATGATTAAAATGGTGTAGAAAGTTTCTGCAAGTCATAAAAACACATTATAAGTTTCATGATATGTCTTCAACTTAGTATTCAGCACCATCTCCAAAACCAGAGTGATCGCATAGATCCAGCATGGCTGAATCAAAGTAAGATGTGGTATGAGTGCCAATGAGACAACTCTCCACTAGAGACCAAGTGACGTAGAAGTTTGGAAGTTACTTGAATAAACTGCTCCAAAGATATAACCCACATTTTTCACAGTTCATATGTACATATGTAAACAGACATGAGAATTATAGGGAACTATATTTCAGTGTGTATAGATTTAGTATCTAATCAGTGCTACTTCCTGTTTTAAAGATGGGTTCCTTAGGAAAGATTTGGAACAATAGTTCCAATCTTTCAAAAAAATTATGATAAAAATTTAGGGGGTAAAATAAGTGCCCCTCCCAATAAAAAAAAATCTTTTTTGCAAGGTAAATGTAAGTTTCTGTTCATATGTAATCAATTATGCCATCAGATTCACCAATTTGTTAATTTTGTGTGTTGTATGCATTTTCAAACTAGACCATGTGCAAAACAATTGTTAAAATTGTGACTTTCAATTCTGACCCCTTCCATCAAATTTTGCAAACAGTGTAGCTTTCAGAAATTTGACCAACATACATGTAGTACTTTTGAATACAAAATTGATTAAAGATTAAGAAAACACAAACTTGTAAGATAAATCAATGTTTTGCTTTACTTTATTTTCAGTCAGAAGTTGTGTTGCTAAACTTTTTTTATTAGTGCATTTTCAATAAGCTAATTACACCTATAAATTGTTTCATAGATGTATATATAGAAATGTATGTAACTTCCAATTAAAAAAAATTCACACAAGGTATATCATTAAGGTGTAATGCACATACGTAAAAATCAACTAGATTTTAACAAAAAAACAGACGAAGGTAGGGATAAATGAGCACTTTTGAAAAATATTATTATAAATCAATTTTCCTTGAATTCAAGCTTCAATATTTTGGTATTTGTCAATTTTTAAACATAATAAATGCATATCTCAGTAAGTAAAGGCATATATAATTTAGGTCAAAGTTCATGGAAGAATAAATTGCCCAACTTTTACTGCAGAATGTCCACCGATCGACACAGCTGTAACTGTTACATGGACTGGTAACCCAGTGGTAGCTGACACAGATGCTGGTAAGCCAAATGTTATACTAGTATTACTGGTTTCTTGCCACTGTATAATGTTCACACCTGCTTGAGCAGAGCCAGAAGACACTTCATAGAACAGGGCATCATCACTACTAAAGATGGTGTCCCAGGATACAACCACTTTGTTATCAATCCAGTTGAGTTCCAGGTTCTTTGAATCTAAAAATAAATAAAATTTGTTTTAGTTAGGCTGAAATGATAAAGATTAAAACAGCACAATACAAATAATTACTCTAAAACATTCCTCCCTATTTAACATTTCATTAATTCAAGGATAATTATATTTTTTGTTATATTGTATGGTGAAACAACATTTTAAATAATTTTAAATTAACTTTGTTATCAATCTAAATGAGTGACAGGTTCTTTTAGTCTAAAAATAGATCAGACTAAACTGATAAAGATCAAAAACAGAACAAATCAAAACTTGTGAAATTTATCTTAGAAAAAAAAAACCATGTCAATAATTCAAGGATTAACCAATTATTACATTATTTTTTATATGTACGTTGAAACTACATTGTAAAATGACTAAATTATTACCAAACAGCAAAGCAGTTATCAATGTTAGAAATGTTAGTGGGAAAAGGGTAAGTAGACTTGTGTATGGTGTAATGGCGTATGGTATAAGTTTAAAGTTTACATCCTTAAAATGTTGTAGCCCAAGTAGTTATATATCCTTGCTTTTAAATTTTTGGTTCGGAGTATTCCTGTGGGAGATAAATCCAGAAAAGTGCCTCAGACACACAAAGTTAGCAAGTGTTCATCAGTCTTAAATTCTGTCTGTATAATACAGACATATACCAATAGATAGCAAACAGTAAATCAACAGTTCCTAAATGAAACATTATGTAAGTTTGATGAAACTCCTTTAAAGACATGACAGTGCCATATAGCTTACTGTGCAGTATGGGTTTTGCTCATTGTTGAAGGATTTACGGTGAACTGTAGTTGTTGACTGCTTTGTCATTTGGTCTCTGTTGGAGAGTTGTCTCATAGGCAATCATATCACATATTCTTATTTTTATATGAATTAAGTCAATTAGATTTGTATAAATGTAATAACAACAGCACCTACATATTAACCCAGCTATGAAGGTAACACAAATACAATATGTTAACAGTTTCACTTACTATCAACTGTGGGTACTGATGTATCTACTGTTGAATTTGCCTTTACTTTGCTGCTGAATTTATACAGTTTATTGACTGCTTGAACAGAGAAGTCATATGATCCTTCTGTTAATGTCGTCTCTGTGAAATGTGTGTACAGTACATCTTGTACATCAGCAAAGAACATTGACTCTGACAAGCCATCCTTGCTGTAAAATATCTAAAATGGAAACCTATCTATGTATCACCATTACTTTTTAATCATTCTTATGCAGATTTAAACAAATAATTTTTTTTATCAATAGGTAGCAAGCTAATTATGTTGTAAAAGATTAATACTTAAATGTGTGTCAAATCAAGCAGTTTAAGCCTCAGTTCTAGTTTACCTAACAAGAACACAGACATATTAACTTCAAATATATATCAAATAACACACAACTAGTTTGAAAAGTTGTAGGCAAAATAAATTCTAGGAAGAGGCCACGACAGCCTACAAATTCACTAAAAAAGGAGTCAACTTATAAAGTAGAGTGCACACACTGAAATGTCTCACCTGTCTAACTAAATATGATTGAATTTTTTTATGAACGTCTAGATCATTTAAATCTACATGTAGATATCAATCACATACACTAAACATTATCAATGATTCATAAAAATAAGTCAGATGAACCCTGTCAGACAAACATGTAAGCCTAACATTCATTCTATCAACCAAATGCAGTTGAGAAATCAAGAAAACTTAACATTGACCAATAAACCATCAAAGGAGGGTATAGTCAGGGAAAACATTCAAATGAATACCAACTAAAATATTATGTCAAACCAAAAAACCATACCTCATCATACAAGTTGGAGGTTAAGCTAGCTATAAAACCAGGTTTAACCCATCACTTTCTTCTGAAAATGCCTGTACCAAACCAGTAATATGACAGTTGTATTTCACTCGTTCTGTTGATTGATAACGTTTGAGTTTGTCAGTTTTCATGACCTTCCCATTTTTTTAATTTACCATGGAGTTCGGTATTTTGGTTATACTTTTATACCTTATAATTTAGTATTGTCAAATCGAACAGCTTTGCATACCGGTTACTCGGATAATCTTTCGACCGATTAACCATTAACCAGTAGTTTAAGTTAATGTTTGAAGGCATTATCTATAGTACCCTACAAAAGTACGTTTTTATGATACGATAAATTGAAGTTTATCCTTTGGCATTACAAGGCTTGTCTGTGAGCATTCCTGGCGAAGTTTTACTTTTAATAATCCAATTCTGTTGTATCTACTATGACGTTTGTAATAACTTCAGATTGAAAAGATAAAAAATCTTCTTGATCTCAACGAATTGAAAATGTCTGAAACCATTGATTCTTTCATTTTCTCTTGATGTCTCAGAAAATAATGTGGTGTGTTTCAATTTGAAAAGATTAAGTGTGTTACTTGTACCATCAATTATACATTAATTCCATTCACTTAGATTTGCATTTCACCATTTTTGCGTTAATTGGCATTTCTTTTAGAGTATCACAAAGAGGTTGCACATTCAGATGTTACAGGTCTACGCAATATTAAATCAAAAATGAAACAATGAATTAAATCGTAAAATTTAATCGGATTACAACAGTTACTGTTAAAAAAACATGTATTCTAATTATGTTTACTTAAGATCTTGCCTAGAGCTGATAGACAAGCTGTCTTTGTTCTAATTAATTTTATGTTCTTAAGGTTAACAATAGCAATCAATATACTGGACAATTGATTTGTCAAAGTAGTTACCACAACGATCATTTTTAAATTGAACAAAATTTATTGATAATTTCAATATATATTTATATCAAATCTATTAAAATTGAAAAAAGGTCTGGTTAACTGGTTAGCGTTTTTAGTATTTGATATTTGGTCCTTCCAATGGTTAACCGGTTAACCGATTAACTGTTGACAACACTACTTATAATACATATACATTAAAATCTGCACTTATGCTACATAAGATTGAATTTATCAGTAACTGGCTTTAATTCTCCTTCCCAAAAAACTGACAAAATAAAATAATTTCCTCTTATATTGAATGAGAAAAATAAAGGATTTATTTTACTTTTTAACTTTTATCTTACATATTCTTTGTAAATCACTTAATAAAAATATGATCTTCTTGTTTACCTGTCCAATTAACCCCAAAAAGCAGCTAGAAATAAAATAAACTGTTGACACAGAGATATGTCTTGTCTGTTGGCATAACATTCAGAAAAAGACAATCTGATGGACAGAAACATTCCTTATTAATTCGAAGTCGCTGGACTATGAGCTAGTGGGCAGGGCCTGAAAATGGTTGACAAACTGAGATGTAGAGACAGTAATGTAACTTTATAGAAAATATTGTTGTCTATTTAAGTAGTTCCTATCAAACTAATTTAAGCAGAAAACTTAACATTGAAAATAGCTAATTAATTCAAAGTCACTGGACCATGTCCTAGGGGAAGGGCCTCAAAATAATCGTCAAACTGATATGTACAGATAGTAATGCAACTTTATACAAAATATCATTGATCTATCACAAGGAGTTCTTATCAAACTAACTTAAGCAGAAAACTTAACAATTGTTGACGCCGTCATCATCGTCGGAAAAGCAATCCCTACGTCTCGCTTTCCGCGGCTTTTGTTGCAGGCAAGTCAAAAAAACTGAAACTTGCTTCTGTAAAATATAAATGACAAGTGGAAGTTTTAGAAAGGTACGTGTAAAATTTCAACTTTACCTTAAATGTTTCTACACCTATATCATCAGAAAATCCTGTCCATTTAAGTCTAATATTGTCTGTAACACCCTGTTTATTGATTTGTGGAGTGTACTCTGTCATGGAGAGAGGCATGGTTTCTACTACTGCTGAGGCTATAGATGGAGGCTTGTTTGATATCTTTACTCCATCGGAAGACAGAGTAGAGATTAGGCCAGCCTTATTTTCACAAGTCAGAGTGGTATAAATTGTTCTCCCTATCAGTGCATTGTACGGAAGTTCTTTGTATGCAGACAAAGCTGTGATCACTGTGTATGGTAATAACTCATTTCCACCAGGCTGGTAACCTACACAAAACAAGATATATAAGTCATTTTTCTTAATATTTGAAAAAACACAAAAACTTGATATTGACAAATGAATCATGAGTCAAGGTAAGATGTACCCTGCCAACAAGACAAGTTCACCTTACAATCAATCCATACACTAAATATGTATAGTTTCCCTATTGCGTATAGAATGTAAGTAACAAACCTAAACACAAAAGCATAATGAAACATGAAAATATATAAGTAAATCTAAACATATCAGATATTAGATTTACTAAATTAATCCAGATATCCTTCCCTAATGTCTTACCTATGACCACTTCTTAAGATACTTGATATTGGATCTACTATAGTATTACAGATATCTACTGCTTCCCTGAAGTCTTACCTTTGACCCATTCTTAAGATATTAAATATTGAATCCACCATTTTCCAGATATCTACTTCTATACTGGTTAATCGGCAATTTGTACATTTTGCCTTTGATCTTTTAAAGACAGGACTTGATACTCGAGAAATATTAGGCAATGAGGTCACATATCAGTGCAGCAACGGCATGTGCTCAAGTCCATTCGCATCAATTTATCAATGAAATGCACGCGACTTCATTCAAACAACCGAACAACTAGGCCCAAAGTTTTGTACGCTTTAAAGTACTTTTGCTAACTATTTTATTTTACTTCAAATTCTCAAACAAAAAAATCTGCAGTTAAGACAAATTGCCGATAAAAAGAATAATGGCGTTTTATTTTTAGATACTAACTTCATCAGCTTGCCCTAACGGGCTCGCTTGATATTCTTGCTGATAAAGTCAGTATCAAAAACAAAAATGCCATTTTTCTATATGTCTTAGGTATAAACTATTTTTAAGATATTAAATATTGTATTAACCATATCCATATATCTACTGTTTACTAATCTCATCTGTAACTAATTATTAAGATATAAGATATTGGATCAACTATATTTTTCCACATATCTACTTCTTCCTGATGACTTACCATTATTCAACTCTTAAGATATTAGATTTTGGATCAAACAATTTTCATGATATCTACAGTTTTAATAATGTCTTACATGTAAGCCATTTTTAAGATAATAGATATTGGATTCACCATATTCCAGAATATCTACTGTATTACTAGTCTTATCCATATGACCAATACATGATATTATATCATATCAATATCTTGATCCAACATTCTCCCCCAGTTATATACCACTTTACAAATAGTCTATTCTCAGGACAGGATATCCGAATCAAGATCCTCAATATCTAAGGTAGCTAATATTTAAGGAAAGTCTTACCTACAGCCCATTTACAGAACAGGATACCAGATTCTGGATCTTCAAAGTCCCAGTTTGCTACTATTTCATTAAATTCCCAAGCATCTTCATCTCCTCCTGCAATTTTAATTGGTCTCCATTTAGAATATGATTTTCTGTGTTGTACATTGTTATTTGTCTTTGAAAGTACATTTTATTTTTGGAGCAGTGGGGTATTGTTGTTGGTGTTGGTTTTATTACTGTCTAATATCTTTGGTAGTTCTTTATATCTTTTTAATGCATTTCTTTTTTAAAAATGTTGAATCTAGTTTTTTTTTAAATACAAAAATCTGATTAAATATCCCTCACATCATTATCAGACAATGCTTAATTAGTAGGTACAAAACATCCAATTTAACATAAAGAAAATTCGTAAGGGTTCCGCGGAACCCAGTGTCTCGCCTACTTTTTCTGTGAATTGCAGGCTCAACAAAAATGAGGAAGTAAATCAATACAAATATTCCTCTTGATACTATCTTTTGATTGTAATAAGCTTCTGTCCAAGTTTGGTAAAAATCCAGGATAGTTTATGAATCTAATAAATGTTTAAAAACTTTAACTGCAGACTGAATGTAATGTTAACTGGAAGAAAACAAAATTTCCTTCTAGATACTAGCATTTGATCATAAATAAGCTTCTGTCCAAGTTTGGTACAAATCCAAAATAGTATAAGAAAGTTATTAAAATTTCAAAAACTTTAACCACAGAGTGAATATTTGTGGACGCCGCCGCCGCCGCCGACAGAATGTAGGATCGCTATGTCTCGCTTTTTCGACTAAAGTCTAAGGCTCGACAAAAATCTTTAAAAACTTTAACCACAGAGTGAATGTGTTGTTTCCTGGCAGAAAATCTAAGTCCATGTCAAAGTAAAATACGGAAAAAATGGAATTTTATTTTTACAACACTTACTTCTGGATACTATCTTATGATCATAAACAAGCTTCTGTCCAAGTCTGGTAGAAATCCAGGATAGTTTAAGAAAGTTATTAAAATTTTAAAAACTTTAACCACAGAGTGAATAAAATATTTCCCGGCAGAAAAACTAAGTCCATTTATAAGTAAAATACGGAAAAAATGGAATTTTATTTTTACATAATTTACTTCTGGATACTATCTTATTATCATAAACAAGCTTCTGTCCAAGTTTGGTAGAAATCCAGGATAGTTAAAGAAAGTTATTAAAATTTCAAAAACTTTAACCACAGAGTGAATATTTGTGGACGTCGCCGCCGTTGACGACGACGGAATGTAGGATCGCTATGTCTCGCTTTTTCGACTAAAGTCGAAGGCTCGACAAAAATCTTATCATTTTTTTTTCCTTGTGATGAAATGAAAAGATTTGCTAAAATTGAATAATCCTAACCATACAAGATACACTAATATGATGGTAATTACTTAATAAGCTTGTCCAAAATTGTATGTACATTAAAAAAACGTATGTTAAATAAAAAATACTTTGGGAGAAATCCCTCTGTTATCTGAATTACTAGTCACAAACATGTCATTCAAATGAATCAGCAGTTGATCCTTCATACAACTAGAGGCTCACCTGTGTTGCTCACCAGCTTCTTCAACAATTGCCACTTTTTTGTAAAAATCATCATTAAAGGGGAATAACAGTAAAAAGAGTTAACTGACAATTTCAGTGATGTTGATGTATTTGTAGATCTTATACTGCTGATCATATTTCTTTTTTAAAATTTCTATTGACTTTTATAGTTTTCAAGATAATAGGCAAAAAACACAAAAAAAAATGTGAAAAATTATCATTAACGGGCAATAACTCCAATAAAGAGTGAACTGAAGATTTCGACCATGGTGGCTTATTTGTAGATCTTGTCTAGCTGATCATTTTTGCTGTTTAAAGTTCCTATCTATCTATTATAGTTTTTAAGATAATAGGCATATATGAAAAGTTTGGAAAAATCGTCACTAAAGGGCAATAACTTCAATAAGGAGTTGACCAACGACTTCAATCATACTGACTTAATTTTAGATCTAGTCTTGCTGATCATTTTTGATATTTAAACTGTCTATCTGTTTATTCAAGTTTTCAAGATAATAAGCAAAAACACAAAAAATTGGGAAAAAACGTCATTAAAGGGCAATAACTTCAATAAGGTGTAGACTAGTAATTTCGATCATGTTTGACTTATTTGTAGATCTTGTCTTTATGATTATTTCAGTTATTTAAACTTTTTCGCTATCTATAATAACTTTCACAATAATGGGAAAAAATGAAAAAAAATTGTAAAATTTGTTGTTTAAGGGCAATAACTCCTATAAAAAGTTGTTTGACAGGTTTGATATCATCATTCTAAACATGTTTACCCTGTCAGATTTTTTTCTATCTTGAACGCTTTTCAAGATAATTGCCAAATATTGCATTTTACCCCTATATCCTATCTTTAGCCATGTCAGCCATGTTGGTCGACAGGCGGGGTCATCGAACAAGTTTTTCAAACTAGATACCCAAATGTTGATTGTGGCCAAGTTTGGTTCCAATTGGTGCAGTAGTTTCAGTGGAGAAGATTTTTGTAAAGTTAACGGACACTGATGGACAACAACGATGGACCAAAGACAACGGATGCCAAGTGATGAGAAAAGCTCACTTAGCCCTTTGCGTCAGGATGAGCTTAAAAGGAGTTAAGGTATTATTGCTTTTGAGATACCTATCCAACAAAGATATATTAATTTCTTTTCTTCTTTCTTATTTTTTCAAAAATATAAAACATTAAATGTATTAAACTTATACATGACATTGAGATAGTTTGTTTACCTAATCCATCATTGACATATTTGATGTCAGGTGGTGTCAGATCTACTAGTATTGGATCAGAGTAAGAAATTCCTCTCAGGTCTGCCCCATTCGTTGCTACAGCTGTGATATAAATATATGTGTTGTGCACCAGCGTCACATTGTTGTTAAACCCAAAGTTCATCAATCCTACACTTTTGAATGGCTGTATTTGTGTTCCTCCAGATGCATAACCTGAAAAATGGGAGCAATAGAATCAAAAGTGGCCAATTACAAAAATATAAAAAAAAACAAGTAACAATTACCTAAAAGTAGTTAAACATAAACCTCCCACATTAACATGAAATAATAAATCTAATACAAATAAAAATGTAGTGGATAATGCAATTTAAATTGCTTTTTAGGGATTGATTTAAAGTTGTAAAATTATAGCACAGACAAATATAATAAAGAATACAGTGAGTATATGTACACATATGCTTGTCTAACCCTCAACTTTTTCTATATATATGAATGTTATCAATTCAATTAATCAAATGTACCATGCACTTGCCAAATGTATCAATGAGAAACAATCATATTGTTAGCAATGGCCGTCATGTTGCATATTTGATAGCAAATATATGTCAATTGACAGAAACATTGCTAACCTTGCTCGGGAAATAAAAAAAACCTTTATGTTTTAAGTCATCTCGCCATCTGACTCCCAAGTGCTAACAATTAATGGAATGTGTATTGACAAAGCCCAATTAAAAACTTCTAAAATAGAAAATTTCATTAAAAAAAATTATAATTATTACTAACCTATTGCCCAGCTGTAATCTATGACTGGAGATTCTGGATCGGTAAAACTCCATGACCCATGTATGGAACTCCATTCATGTAAATATACCACATGACCAATCACATGACCACCTGATGATGCTGTTGTCAAATTCACCTTCTGCACTGATAGATTATCTATAAAAATCCCTGTAGTCATGTCCATACTACCAATAGTGATATTAACTTGGTCATTTGTAGCTTTGAAATAGAAGGTGTGAGCATGCCAGGAAATTTCTGTCCTACTATTGCCCTCTCCATGTCCATCATGGCGATATGGTTTTGTATATATCAGAAAAATTTGTTTGTCATCACCAAGTTGTATGAATCCTTCTTTGTTTGCTCCTACAGAATCTGTTATGGGTAAATGACTTGAGAAAAAGGAAATCTTGTAAAAACATCCAGCCTTGATTTCAACAAGTTTTTGCTGAACATTTCCTCTGATGAACAGAAAAGACTGACCGTCTTTAGCTAAATTTACTCGAGATGATATAACAGCCATGCATGTTGATAGATCTGGTATCCATGACAATGGGTGGTAACTATTAGAAATCAAACAAATATCTGTAGTGCTAACATTATCCCATGAGACTAGATCACCACTTGTGTCTTCAAATGAAGGATTGTCTACAATGTTCTCATCAATATGAATGAATTTTTCTGAAAGAGGAGGTGTTTTATCCACCATGGCACCATCTGAGATGACAATAGATGATGTTCTTCCTATATTGTCTACAGCATAGACCTTATTGTATATTTTTGTACCTGTAATATAATTATTGATGTAAAATAAAAATAATCTTAAATAAATCATATGCAAACAAATTTTTTTATTTTTGAGAAAACTTCATTGAAATTTGAATGAAAATAACAGGCATTGACATACCAAAATGACTTGGCTACTGCATCTTCTTTGTTGACTTAAGGTCAATTAACTCCAAGCAAAAACTTCAAGGTCATTAACTGTTAAAACAAAAAACATCAAGGTCAAATGTAAGAGTTACACGTTCTTTTTTCTATGTTCATTTAAAAGAAGTGCATTTATTGATTTGGGATAAGTGACCTACCATCAGGGATAACTGTTGATAGGTTACGAGATGCAGAAACATGAAGTCCAACATTAGTCCAAGGTAAAATATCACATTCTGATTGACTATATGTTCTATGAACAAATGTTGTCACCCCAACACACCATTGGTATGACTGAATACCAGACTCTGTGTCTATAAATCCACGCCAATGGGCTTCCAATATGTCAGAGGAGTTCTTATATTCTACATCCAGTCCTCCTGTATTCAAAATAAACAAAAATCAAATTTACTTAAATAGCTAGAAAACTACAGGCAATTTTATATACATCTATAAAGGATCATGGAACATTTTATAATTGAGATAGGGTCTTCTAAATTTTATACATATTAAATGCATATTTTCATGGTTGACAGATAATAAGACTTTCTGTCAGGTAAATATATACAATGAATATCTGTAGGCAATTCAGTATTAGAAGATACAAGTACATATATAGAATACTGTAAATTCAGAAATTTTGCCATGTTTTTATAATTGCGAAAATTTTGACACAATTGGTTTTGCTAAAATAAAAACTTCCATTTCAAATTTCGATAGCATTATTTGTTATGAATCATTCACCGCATTCGTAACAGTTAATCTCCCAAATCTGATCATTGTTCAGCATAGGCAATATAAATATACTAAAGAATTTCTGAATTTACAGACATTAAATTCCAGTAATTTAACCATAGAATTGCACATTAAATACCAGTAATTTAACCATAGAATTGCACAGTTTTAATAAAAAGACTACTATGAAACTAAAAATTTGGTTCATATAAACCATCAACCTGTTAAAATAAAAAGAAATCCCTCTATAGTCTTCAGTGAAAACATTACCAACCACACACAGAATCCACCATATAAATTATGCATTTAATAACCCCCTACAAATTTTTTTTAATGCCAATATTTGAACTACTCTGATTTAAAAACAAAATCATACTATAAAGTAGAATAAGGACTCGTCACACTATAAATATGTTATATTTGTCATACATATAACTAGAATTAGGTGATCTAGTGATTACAAATGCTCCCTCCTTTTTTTCCACTGTATGGTCCATTGTGATAATATTCAAAAAGGTTATGTCAAGTTGTATATGCTATCGCCAAATAAAACAAACGAAAAATCCACATTGTTTTAATAAAAAAATTATGGGCATAATCTATAAAATCTCTCAAAATCCAACGTGTGAAATTGTGTTACAGTAAAATCTAAAAAAAATTTGTGATGTGGTACTTTAGTAATTACCATCTGAAAACCAACAAATCTTAACTTTAACTATAACTAAAGATAAAACTCTTGAATCGTAAATGTCAAAACCTAAAACTTTTATTTTGACCTGTATATTATGGTCCATGACATTGTTTTCAAACTTTTAAAAAAAATTGGTAAAACTGGTCTCTCCGTATTAATAGAGTTATTTATTCATGATTTTTAACATTTTTGCATCTTTGGATTAACATGCAGCTGTTTAATACATGCATGGTAATGATTCATCAAAAGTCACTTTAAGGGATATTAAAATGCCAGCATAAGGCATAAAGCATAAAAGCATAAAAGTTCTATTCAAAGTCATTTGTAAAAGGACAATTTAACATCAGATCTGTGGAGCTTTTAACTGACACAAACAGAAGCATTATGCTGTAAGTCTGTTTATCCACTAAGACCTTAAAATGTGGATGGTATTGACGAGTCTAGAGATGTATTTTATGAATGAGTTATTCTGGTTGACCTGAGGTCAATTGGTGTAAATGACAATATTGAAATATTGGTTCTTACTGTGACATATCAACATACGCATTGTGACATACGAAATGTATTGGAAAATCGTCTATAAGAACCATGGACTTACCTAATCCATCATATACAATCCCAGCAAATGGGTCTCTGTGATCTATAATGAATCCATCTGACGTGGATGTAGTGTGAACACCAGCATAGTTATAAGCTATGACATTAGAATAATATTTTATTCCCGGCGATAAGTTGACTCTAGACATGTTGAATCCTTCAGCTGTCCCATCTAAATCTGTGGGTATGGTCAGAATGTCATATCCTTTAAGAAAAGAGGGAGTTATCAATTCAGAGAAAACAAGATTTTAATAATATTGATTTCTGAATGAATAAAGTAGAAGATACCTACATAAGAATGCTGTCCAAAAAATTAAGACTTTCTAGATCTGTTTTATTCATATTAATTAACATAAAGACCTAAGAACGGGTTCAATCAGTGTTTCTATCATAACCTCTATTTTAGTTGCAGTATGGGAAAAAACTTTGATATGATTTATATACTAATGTACTCCTTGAGAATAAGCCAGTAGCCAGTAATTCATATTTGTCCAAAATATATGTCCAAGACTAATTCAGATGTCGGTATCATCGAAAAATGTGTCTGATAACATAAAAATCTATATAGACGGCTGATGTTGTGTTTGCTGCGACACATATAGTAAAAGGTGCATATTGATATAGTCCGTATCATCGATGTTGAAACTACACGTGTCTTGGACATACCTCAGTAAATTCTCATTATAACTACTGGATACAAAATCTGCTGATCAAAATCATTATGTACTTACCACCAGGAAATGAACTAATATAAAGTTTGTATTTCTCAATTGTGGCTGCAGCATTCAGGAATTTGTTCTTCCACATAAATGTTATAGGCTCCCCTATTCTCATGTAATCAGCATCCTTTACATTGGTATTGAAAACTTTTTCTATCACCTTTATATGAAAGTAGAAATTGATTTCATCAATGAAATTAATGACATGATGAAGTCAATGGCATAAAGTAGGATGTTCCTATCTTTAGCATTCACTAAAATTCATTGTTTACACAATCTTGAAAATAGTTCTATTTTTCACTAAATAAAATCTATTGACTAAGCAACGAGTCATATTAAAAAATTGTAAAAAGTATACTGCCTCTCATTCCCCTATTCCTTACTATCAAGTGAAAAATGAAGAAATTTGGTTGACACAACAGACCTTGAGTTAGCAGCTTAGAATGGTACAATCATCTGATATGAAATTCAATACACTGTTACATTAGATATTTATTGACATCATTTTTTATTGTCCCACACACCACTTCCCTCTTTTTATTTTCATGATGATTGAAGTAATTTGTTATATTGGATTAATAGTTTAGTTATTTGTTGGTGGACCACTGTTTTGTTTACTTTAGCTTTTGTTAACTATCTCAGTTATGATTATACTAATTACCTTAATTGGAATTTAATTTTGCATATAAACTGTGGTTAGTCTGCCTAAACCTGAGTTATGTTTCATATAGATTAATATCTATCCTGCCTTATTGCCTTATGTTCTAATTGGCCGCTGAATCCTTCAGGTGTATCCAACCATGATGTGTGACAGATATACAGTAGTTGTCGTCTGTTTATGTAGTTCATACGTGTTTCTCGTTTCTCGTTTTTATATAGATTAGACCGTTGGTTTTCCCGTTTGAATGGTTTTACACTAGTAATTTTTGGGGCCCTTTATAGCTTGCTGTTCGGTGTGAGCCAATGCTCTGTGTTGAAGGCCGTACCTTGACCTATAATGATTTACTTTTATAAATTGTTACTTGGATGGAGAGTTGTCTCATTGGCACTCATACCACATCTTTCTATATCTATATGTCACTTCAAGTGTTGGCAGGGATTGTGTGCCCTTAGATAGGGTAACTCATGGGTTGGGGTGAGATTAATAGCATAGCCATCAGATGTGATAAAACAGCGGGAAAGGGGGGAGTACTCACAGCAAGTACACAAATTATTGACACTACTGGTGCCTGATACATCACAATAATACTGTATGTCTTAAACACAGCATAGTCATCAGATGTGATAAAACAGCGGGAAAGGGGGGAGTACAATAATACTGTACATCTTAAACATAGCATATCCATCAGATGTGATGAAACAGTGGGAAAGGGGGAAGTACTCACAGCAAGTCCACAAATTATTGACACTACTGGTGCCTGATTCATCACAATAATACTGTACATCTTAAACACAGCATAGTAGTCAGATGTGATAAAACAGCAGGAAAGGGGGGAGTACTCACAGCAGCTCCTCTGACTGTTGCTAAAGCTGGTGTCTGTGTCATCACCACAATACCATCCGTCTTAAATACAGCATACATGTCAGATGTGTACCATATCCGTACAAACACAGAATATTTGATTGTATTTTCTAACAACTGTTGATCTGAAGATATAAGCATTATAACTTTAATTAGACTGGTTAAGCCGGTGGGTGTTCAGTCAATATGTACAGAACAGATAGTGAAAGCATTATATATTAAAAACAGTTTCAGTGTTTTTCATTTTTTATTTTTACAATTTTTGTTTAACAATTTACAAAAGAATCAACATTTCAGGATGACTATCAATACCTGCTTTAATTGATTGTGGGATTATTTCTTGTTTTTTCAGCTTTTATTATTTGTGTCATTGACATTCTTAAACACAGCATGCTTACCTGCTAACTGAAAATTTATTCTTTATTCAAAATGTAATAAAAAGTGTGTACCATTTGAAAAAAAATTTCAGCTTAACCCTTGGAAAAATGTTACCCATAAAATGTTCATGGCAGTGGTGGAAAGGTGGTAAAAGAAAAAATCACTATGATAGTGCAGTGTATGGTCATGAAAAAACACTTTTACATACTTCAAAAATTATGAATCATCTGAAAAATGTCCTGTGCAGTGTGTTATACTCTGTTGGTATGGTGTATTCTCTAGTACACTATTAAAGATAGCAAGAAATTGACACAAAACAGACTTTTACTACATACAAATATTCAATCAAATTTCTAAATTTACAATAAAATAAACTCCATATAATGCCTACCTGGTCCAACAGTGAAGACAGTATCCATTAGCTGACCAGCATCCTGCCAAACCTTGTCCTCGACTGGGTTATAAATACCAATTGGCATTGTATTAACTGTGTAACCCACACTCCATTCATACCTTTAGGGTAAAAAAAGCAAGAATTTAAATGTCTGATTGGTGATCAAAATAAAGTGTGGAATCAATGAGGTAGCAATTTATACAACACAAGTTAACAATATCAGAAAAAATAAAGATCTACAGTAATACCTCAAGTGTCCTCATTATATGAAAAACTCAAAGGCATCAAAAAGCTTTTACAATGCTGGGAGTATAATTCTACTGTTGAATAAAACTTAAACAGTTTAAAAAAAATATATAAAATAATACAACTATCCACCAGATTCCAAAAGATATGGATATTGGAAACTTACCATAGGGGTTTAGAGTGGAACTGTTGAGATATAATCCATGAAGCTCTCACCACACTGTCGGATGCTGTTACATTGAATTGGACAAACTTACCATAGGCAGCACACTGTCTGATGCTGTTACATTGAATTGGACAAACTTACCATAGGGGTTTAGAGGGGAACTGTTGAGATATAATCCATGAAGCTCTCAGCACACTGTCTGATGCTGTTACAGCTTGGTCACCAGTGGTATAACCATTTGTGTCCTTAACTAACAATAATGTGTACTGTGTACCGGAAAATACACCTGAAAAATAGTGTGTTCAAGAAAATGCAATGTGTTCTTTGTACAAAAATGTCTGGAAAATACACTATATATATAATGAAAATTTAAGACCCATAAGAAAGTGAAATAGAACTATTTGTGCGCAGCTTTTGTTATAAATTGTTAACACTTACAATCTAAATAGTCAAAAGTAGAGATGTTGATGAAATTTGACAAAATTTTCTGGATTTCTACCAAATTCAAGCCAGGGAAACAGAGTGCAGGCTTCAACAAACTTAATACTCTAATCAAATATGTAAAATGTTATAACATACATTATGTTAAAAGATCTTTCTTGTAGACCCATGCACTCTATGTTTCTAGTCTAAAAAATCAATGGGAATTTACGTTTTTTTTGCATGGAAAATCAAAGGAATGTGTGCTATTTGTGATGGCATGAAAAGAAGGAAAATACGAACATTTTCAACAAAAAAAAGTATATTTCCTACCTTGTCATTGTTTAAAGTATGATTCCTTGTAATCTTGGTCAATAAATCCTAATTTGAAATTTTAACTACAAATAGGAGCCATTTTAGGGCCTTATCGCACCTAATCCTTTCATCTGCAATCTGTATAAAAACGACTAGACCTTGATAAAAACTTCCCTATTCATTTGCAATAAGCCAAGAACACTACACATATTCAGAAATTTTAATATAAATTAGATTCCTTTTTTCAAGCTTGTTTTTTTCTAGAAGAATTTAAGATTAAAGTGACTAATCATACTTACTATCTGATATATCAGTACAGTTATCAAGATCTGGATTAAATGGACATTTCTGGTCTTGTGGAGAACAAACACAATGGCCTTCACAAGATAATGCATCACATCTTCTGACCAAGTCCAGGTAGCTCGGTGGAGTCTTTTTAAAAGCTGAATGAATCATGTGACTTCTTAAACCAACCTGTATAAATCATATTTCAGGTGTAAGTGGGTCTTTTATTGTTTATCTCTATTCAAATATTAGCACAAATCACACAGAAAACGATATGAAATAAACTATAACTAATCGTCAAAAGATATTACAACATAAAGCTACATTAAATTGTAGTAGAAAATATGCCGTTTTATAATACACAATGTATTCCAACTAGTGATTTTATTGAAAATGGTTTAATTGAACATTTCTGGATAATATTTCCAGAATAAATGTTTTACAGTGTTTTGACATGATTTGAGGGATTTATAATAAAATTGAGAATGGAAATGGGGAATGTGTCAAAGAGACAACGACCCGACCATAGAGCAGACAACAGCCGAAGGCCACCAATGGGTCTTCAATGCAGCGAGAAACTCCCGCACCCGGAGGAGTCCTTCAGCTGGCCCCTAAACAAATATGTATACTAGTTCAGTGATAATGGACGTCATACTAAACTCCAAATTATACACAGGAAACTAAAATTAAAAATGATACAAGACTAACAAAGGCCAGAGGCTCCTGATTTGGGACTGGCGCAAAAATGCGGCGGGGTTAAACATGTTTTTTGAGATCTCAACCCTCCCCCTACACCTCTAGCCAATGTAGTAAAAACAAACGCACAACAGTACGCACAGTAAAACTCAGTATAAGAGAAGTCTGAGTCCGATGTCAGAATAGGAAACAAAAGAAAATAAACAAAATGACAATAATACATAAATAACAACAGACTACTAGCAGTTACTGACATGCCAGCTCCAGACCTCAATTAAACTGATTGAAAGATTATGTCTTCATCATATGAATATCAAGTACAATCCCTCCCATTAGGGGTTTAGTATCATACCATCATAAAATATATGAGAAGAACATAACCCGTGTCATGCCAACAACTGGTTTTAGAATAAATGTGTTTAATTCCGATGCATTGACCCTATAAGTGAATCAATATTAAAGCCAAAATATGCAATCTTTAATGACCTGACAACAGTATCGTAACTATATCCCTTCTTAATAAGTCTGTTTAAAGGTTTTGTTAGCTTTTGAGGTGAATACTGGACATTTTTGTGCTTTGTAAAGAATATTACCATAAAAGATTGGATGTGAAATACCAGAACGTATAAGATGTCTGCATGTTGAGTTATATTTACGAATGATGTCCTTGTACCAATGATAAAATTTAGTAAATGTTTTGACTAGTTTATGATATCGAAAACCCTGGTGTAATAATTTTTCGTTAATACATAAATTTCTCTCGCTAAAATCTAATACGTTGTTACATACACGAGCGAATCGTACAAGTTGAGATATATAAACACCATAAGATGGTGACAAGGGAACGTCGCCATCTAAAAATGGATAATTAACGATAGGAAATGAAATATCATCTCTTTTATCATAAATTTTTGTATTAAGCTTCCCGTTAATGATATAGATATCAAGATCGAGGAAAGGACAGTGCTCATTGTAAGTATTAGCTTTATTTAAAGTAAGTTCAACAGGATAAATTTCTTTAGTATACACACTGAAGTCGTCATTTTTGAGAGCCAATATATCATCCAAATATCTAAAAGTATTGTTCAATTTTTGTATCAGATGTTGTTTCGATGGGTCTTTGCTGATTTTAGTCATAAATTGTAACTCATAACAATACAAAAACAGGTCCGCAATAAGTGGTGCACAGTTAGTCCCCATTGGAATTCCGATAACTTGACGATATACGGAATCTCCAAAGCGAACAAAAATGTTATCAAGTAAAAATTCAAGGGCAGATATAGTATCAAAGCATGTCCAATTGACATAGTTCTTTTGTTTGTTGCTACTAAAAAATGACCTAAAAGAGTTTGAACATATGTATTCGCATTCCGACTTTTTAAATGCCCATTTAATTAGGTTAATAACCTTAGTTCTAAGGCAATTAAATAATTAATAAACTGGAGATTTCTAGACAAAATATAACCTTCATGTCCTACCAATACAGAAGCTCTGGCTCTGACTTACCTTATTAACAGCCCACAGTGTAATATATACTTCTTCATACTCAGTCAATACAATGGTCTCTATTTTATGCAGTTGAACTTTGCCCTCATCACCATGGTCTGTGTTGCTATCTACATGGATATACTTGGTTTTAAGATCCTGCCAAACAAAAGTGTTTGTTATATTAAAGTCATAAAGCATTGTTGTTCCTGTTTTTTTGTTCATTTTTATGAAATAAATTAATTGGGTTAATTTATGATATTTTGTTATCTTTGATACCATGGATTGATTTATTATTTTCGTGGGTACCAATTTTTGTGGATTGAAGAAAAACTATACTTTTGTTGAAACTTGAGGACATGGATTTGCCAAAGTTTCCATACAAGCCTATAGTAAATTCATAATTCATTGATCATTTAAGTTTTCTTCTACCAACAAAATTCACACAAAATGTTATCCAACTACTAATAATGAATTCACAGTATGTCACAACTTGTCAGTCTTAAAAAAAAGATCAAGGTGACTGTTCATAAAGTAGACCCTAGGGTGACCTCTATTCTTATGAATGTGTAATTTATGATGCCTATTCAAAACCTCCTTGATATGTATCTAGTTAAAAAAGCAAAATTAAGTCATGAATCAAACTCTTACAAATGCTGATGAATTATATATTGCCAGCTGCCATTTCTTTTTCAAAGGTCAAGAACTCTAAAAACTTGCCTTATAGTCAGATCATATAAACTTGCCTTGGAGTCAGATCATAAAAACTTGCCTTAGAGTCAGATCATAAAAACTTGCCTTAGAGTCAGATCATAAAAACTTGTCTTAGAGTCCGATCATAAAAACTTGCTTTAAAATCAAATCATAAAAACTTGCCTCATAGTCAGATAAAAAAAAACTTGCTTTCTAGTCACATCATAAAAACTTGCCTTATTTAGATTCTTGGCCATGTAAGAGGTTCCCACAGTGACCATATAATGATCTATTTGTGAATGTATGTCACTGAAACCAAGCCAGGCAAGATACACAGCATTACTTCCATAGGTCATCCATCCATGTTCATTTCTGGAGAGATCTGGATCTGAAGCATGGTCAGTACTGACTGCAAACATTCCTGAAATAAACAGAAGATTTACTGAAACATATGTTTGGCAAGATCTGGGTACAATGAATGGCTCACAGCAAACATTCCTGAAATATACAGAAGATTCACTGAAACATATGTTCCGCAAGATATGGGTACAATGAATGGCTCACAGCTAACATTCCTGAAATATATAGAAGATTCACTGAAACATATGTTCCGCAAGATATGGGTACAATGAATGGCTCACAGCAAACATTCCTGAAATATATAGAAGATTCACTGAAACATATGTTCGGCAAGATATGGGTACAATGAATGGCTCACAGCTAACATTCCTGAAATATACAGAAGATTCACTGAAACATATGTTCCGCAAGATATGGGTACAATGAATGGCTCACAGCTAACATTCCTGAAATATACAGAAGATTCACTGAAACATATGTTCCGCAAGATATGGGTACAATGAATGGCTCACAGCTAACATTCCTGAAATATACAGAAGATTCACTGAAACATATGTTCCGCAAGATATGGGTACAATGAATGGCTCACAGCTAACATTCCTGAAATATACAGAAGATTCACTGAAACATATGTTCCGCAAGATATGGGTACAATGAATGGCTCACAGCTAACATTCCTGAAATATATAGAAGATTCACTGAAACATATGTTCGGCAAGATATTGGTACAATGGCTCACAGCTAACATTCCTGAAATATGCAGAAGATTCACTGAAACATATGTTCCGCAAGATCTGGGTACAATGAATGGCTCACAGCAAACATTCCTGAAATAAACAGGAGATTCACTGCAATATATGTATTGGAAGATCTGGGTACATTGAATGGCTCGCAGTAAACATTAGTACATATATAAAACTCCAGGTTAGAACACTACAAATACTCCCTGTGATGTACCTGATAAACACAAATCCACACTGCAACAAAATGGTATCCCCCCTCCCCTCCCGAAATCCATTGACACAAATCTCTGGGTGGTGAAGTGTAATCTACAAACATTCCTTGTGATGTATCTGATAAACATACATCTATATTGTAATAAAATGATATCCCCCTCCCCTCCATCAGTTGGTTGATACAAATCTCTGGGTCATGGAGTGACAAACATTCCCTGAGATGTAGCTGAGATACAGATATCTGCACTGTTAGAATGTACCTGTCCCTTACCTCTCCTTCTATCCAAAGGAACAAATCTCTCAGTGGTGGAGTGCTATAAACATTCTCTTTCAATAAACATACATCTATACTGTAACAAAATGACATCCCCCACCCCTCCCTCAGTCATAGATACATACCTCTGGATGGTGGAGTGCTGTCTACAAACATTCCCAGTGATGTATCTGAGATACAGACATCTGCACTGTTACAAGTAATCAATGTCACATAGTATGTCACTCCATCATGTAGATCTAAACCAGTAAATACATAGGACCTGGCAATACCATTGACCTAGGATAGATAAATGAGGAAAATCCTTAGAGCAAATAAACATTATAAATATAAGAGGGTAGAAATGCCCTTTACCATCAGGCGTCAAACGGTCATTTTCGGCTACTGTTAGCGTCAAATTGGTTAAAATTTTACCATGATTCGTCAAAATATCCTTATCATGATTCGTTAGAGGTCTCAAATAATTATGGTTACAGTTATTTTTAGAAAAAATTTAGCGTGATTCGTCAAAATCAGTCGATTTTTTTATTGTCAAAAAGAAAGTGTACATTTTATCGTCATGCAACAAAAATTACAATTAACGTCATTTGGCAAGAATTTTTACCGTTATTCTTCATGAAGGTACCCCCATTACGACCCTCATATAAAGATTACTGTTAGTAATATTGATGTATTCAAAAGTTGAAAACTGCAATCAGACATGTTTGATGATAGTCTGAAATAATAAGAAGATTTGGTATAATTGCCTATGAGACAACTGTCCATGAGACTCCAAATGAAGTGGATGTAAGCAACTTTTAGTCACTTTCAACAATGAGAAAAAACAATACCGTATAGTAAGGTATAAAAAGCCCCTGTTGTACATTGTTCATTTCTTATGAAAGGAGTATATAGGATCACAAAAGGGCTAAAATTGGCCTTAAGATTTGAACGGTTTTTAATTCAGTCCAAAGTTTTTCAAATTTCACATAGAAATTGATTTGATATTACTGTTAATACAAAATAACTTCTTTTTGCATCTCACATTATAAATGACGAAGTGAAAACCTCTTAAGTATGCATTATTTGTGTTGTATGTCAGTTTTGGTACAAGTTTTCCATAATTACAACAGTTTTAAGCATAATTAACTTTGGCCACCATACCCGATCCAGATTTTTTTGTTTGTTTAGGGATTCAATCTTAACCATGGCACAGAATATTTTGGATCATAGGTTAATTGTGGCCAAAGTTTTCCTAAAACTTTAATGTCTGCAAAATGCACTAAATTTTGGAAATTTTGACAATATCTCCAAAATGTGCTGACTTTGGAGCCTATAATGTACTATTATGAAGAAATTTGTTTTACTTAGCATTCAGGCATTTGGAATAGACCAATTTAAGAACCAGATTGTGGCCTTTTTGGTATTTTGCGATAAAGTCAAAATTCAAGGCCATATTTTGCCAATAGTGAACCTTGTCCTTAAATAGTTTTACAATCAAACAAGAGAGAACATTGAGCTAACTTACTGACTGTGAAGATAGCATGAATTCTCCTCCAATATGAGATTTGATTGACAGGTATTGTCTCTTTATAAACGATTCTGCATCCTCAACTTCCCATTCAACTTTCATCGCTGTCCTATATATTTGAGTCATTTCATTGATTCCAAAGTCGTTTGAGAATGTCGTTCCTTTTGACAGAACAGGTGGTGTATCATCTACACTAAAGCCACTTGATGATGACTCTGCCCATAACCCTATAAGTAAAACATATACAAATCTGATTTACATTACATGTTCTGCTTTAACATTACTTCCTTGTATATGGTGCCATATCCTCTAAAAAACATCTCTCGTAGTACAGAAAACTATTTAAAGATTAACTTTCTGAGGAGAAAAAAGTATGTGACTCAAATCAATTTGAAATAAACAACATGACTAACTAGTGCCACTGGTGGAGCAGGAACTATTTACCATTCTGAGCGCCTCATTTCTGATTAAAGTAGCTCAAAATTTAGTTTTCTGTACAGTGGTTTGTGGACAGTTGTTAGTGTAATATTTCTATCTTTTGGTCATGGTATTGTCTGATGGTATTTTCAGTCCTTCTTTGTCTTATGGTTCTAAACTATCCCTTTGGAATCTTCTCCCCCTTTTTCGTTATTATAAATCACAAAATCAGCCAGGTAAATAAAGGCAACAGTAGTATATGGAAATTTAAAAAATTAAATTAGAGTTTATACATATTATGATAAAATCCTAGGCAACAGTAGTATACTGCTGTTTAATAGTCATAAATCAATTAACCAAAAACAAATCCGGGTAACAACTATCTTGGCAGGCTCTCCTTGCAAGTCTGTGGAGCCTTTATATAAAAATGTATCAACAGGAATGGGGAAAAAAAAGTGGCCTGCTAGGTTAAGCATAAATTTTTGTGATTATTATTGTAACAATTGTGAGATGATGGGATTCGCAATAATAAAATCTATACTTTGGAGTGTGGATTCATTATTATTCATTGGATACTAATTTTCGTGGATTTCGTGGTTGCCACGGAACCACAAATAATTTAATTCCAATGTCCAACCAATTACAAATTTTGTTTAGGAATTTATGCAGACTTTGGCAAAACCACAAAATTAAATATCAATGAAAATGCAAGTTTTCCTCAATCCATGAAAATTCATTTAATTGGTACTCACAAAAATATATAAATCCACAGTACCTTAGTTCGTTAAGAATTTTTTTTGCAGCATTTTCTGAAAATGCAATAATAAATATCACACTGTTCAGCAATCGCAATAGTCTATGCATGCAAAATTTCTAAATTTACATGAGTATAAATGTCAAAATAAATACACACCTGCTTTATTATAAGCTCTGACTGTTATAAATAGTCTGGTGTTTGTAGGAAGGTCAAGGTTATAACTAGATGAGTTCAATAATGCTGCTGTCTCTGTCAAATGAAGCTGTATAGTAGGCACAATATCACTATAACCTGGCTTTGTTCCTACTTTCCATTCATATTTCTCCAGACCAGACTGGGCATCATCAAATCCATACCATTTAGCTGATATAAAGTTCCTGTAACAAAAGGTATAATTAACTCTATATACTTGGGGAACAACCATTTAACTTCAAGGGGGGTTATGGTTTTTTCCTAAAAAAATATTCTGATCCCCAATTTGATGGAAAAAAATATTGTGGTCAAGCAGATGACAAAAAAAAATATTCTGAATCCAGATTTTCCCCATACCTTATAGTATTAAATTTTGAAAAAAATAATTTAATTGATAGCATCTAAAAACTAAAAGAAAATGTTCACGCTTTTTTCTGACTCAGAAAAAAAAAACCATAACCCCCCCTTGAAGTTAAATGGTTGCTCCCTTATAGTTTATTGATGGTTTTTCAATCATGTGGTGTTTCTCAGCTACAATCTCAACGAAGGGCAACAGCCCAAAGAGGTGATGTAGTCTAGAATTATCCTCCAGTTTAAAAGATCATAGATAACCTGTGTATTGCTGTTTTCCTAGGCTAAGTCAATGACATATAGGCTCATGACATCATACATTCAATTTCTACTCCACTGAGAAAACCCATACCTCTATAGAAGCGTGATAGGTAAAATTATCATACAGAGAGATCAAAGGAAAATTTGAGAAAATAGAGATTAAATAAGATAAGTATGGATGTATGCATGAACATTTCATACATGCATTGTGGAATCACATAAACCTCTTTGAATGCTCATTTTCTAAAGAAATTTCAAAAGAGATGTATGCCGTCTGTTTCGACTGTGTATGAAACAAACTTACTTCAGTGACTGATATTCTGTATCGTAATATCCTGTTCCATCTTGTACAGTGCCTGGTGTTGGTGGACTGTTGTCAATAATAACACCATCTGATGTCACAGTCGTACACATTTCTGCCGTGTTACATGCAGTTACAGTTGTGTAATATCTTAGTCCTGTACCGAGATGAGTATTTTCTAGGGCAAATTCTGAAAGGAAAAACATAATTTCTGTTTTGTAAGACAAGAAATGGCAGACTTAAATAATCTTACAATGGACTGTCAAAATTTGAAAAAATTCAATATCACAAACTTATATAGATCATTCAAAAATCATAACAATGAATATTTGTAGAAGGAGTATTTAAGTACAAGTATTAAACATAAACTGGCTGTAACAGAGCAAGAAAATTGTCGCCCCTGCTCTATCATTAGACCTCATAGAATTCATATCTTATACATATATGCTTTTCACCTTCATAAAAAAAAACTCTATTCCAAACCCTGCTTGAACCTGTCTTATCCAGCCTTTGTTCTAAATACAAAAAAATGCAAAAGTCTTAGAAACTCCGGTAAATTGATCATACCCTTACTATCTGTAATTCTAAAGGTTTATTGAAACACAAAGTTATTTCTTAAATACATGTATATCACAGGCTAATCCTTTGAGTTTTGCTGCATACACTATTCAGTTTAACTGTTTAGTTTACTTTGCTCACCATATGCTATTCCAATGGCTTGTAGTTTTAAAATGTCCTCGCATTGTGGACAAGTTCCAATCGAGACATAATAATCATTGATAGTTGAATGAGATTCATGAAAGCCTTCCCAGTGAGCATGTAAAACTTTGGTCTCTGTTTGATAGTCAATATCTTTGACACTTCCTGTCACTTGGTCTTTATCACCATCATACACATGACCCGGTGTAGGTGGTGTTGTGTCCAGCACAAAAGCCCAGGATGTGGCTACTGAGGACAATCCTGCTTTGTTGAAGGCCTAAAATATATAATTTATTCACATGTTCAATATAAAAAGGATAATGAGCCTCTCTCACTATTTAAGCATTTGAAGTAAATTATAGTTAAATAAAATAATAAAAACATTTATAACAAAGACGTTCCATCAAAAACTAATCATATTTTGAATCTGACTTCTTGCCTATATCGAATTTATTTTTCAGCCTAAAATACAAACTTTTATGTTTGTTTTTGAGGAATGCAAGTTTGGAAATTCATAGAATAAAATAACTGACTGAAATTGACAAGTATTCTTAAATACAAAATAGGTGTTCTCTGTAAAGAGTGAGAAACAAGGAAAAAAGGGCCAGAGTTAAGGGCCATTATGAGTATTTTACAAAAGATCTAAGTCCCATACTATAACTTTAAAAGCAAAACAAAACTAAAGCCTGATGAATTTCACCCTATAACTCACATTAATTTGGTTTTATTAAGTAAATTAAGGATCTTTTAGTAAAAAATGTATATGTGGGGGTTGGAAAAACTATTTTAGTGTATTTATATCATGAAAAATGTTCTAAGCCACATTAACCAAACATGTATATCTTATATAAAGTGTCTTACAACCACAAGTCATTTTTTAACTTATTTAGAACTATAATTGTTTAAACAAACAAACTGACCAAACAACTCAGTGACAAGTGTGTGGTAGGGTAAATAATCCAAACATAACTCTTTTATCCCCCCCCCCCTTGAGCATGTATGAGCTCACTAGGGAGGCCACATTCCAAGGCCAATAAACAAGTGGATACCTATAGGTATTCTCAGTTGTCTTTTAAAGGGTAACTTATATAGACCTAAAAATATCCTTGTTTTTTGAAAAATATAAACAATGTCAGTAAATTTATTTCCTTACTCTGACATTGATGTAATAAGAATGGCCATCCAGTAGTGAAAGAGGATTATTTTTGTCTGTAATTCCACATTCGTCTATGGTTTTTATATATGACATCATATCCGTGTATCCTGGTTGTGAACCAACTGACCACAGAAAATAATCCAAACCACTTTGAAAATCTATAAACACTTCTTTCCAACTGTAATAAACAAAAATTAACAATATATATTTGAGTAAATGAAATTATTGCTTGTTTATTCATAAATTTATTAAAACAGCTTTTGAGACTCATTATTATATACATGAGAGCACTAACATTGCAATATTCCAAAAATTAAACATTATTGATCGGCACTGATTTTTGAACTCATGTTCTGTTTCTTTAATTTAATCTTTATTTTTTCTGTATTTCTAGTTGTTTCATTTATATGCCTTTTTCTCAAAGCATCAAGTCTAAAATCTAAATCAAAACTTTGAAGAACATTATCGATAATTTGTAAACATTAATCATCAATTCATATTTAAAATGAGTTTTTTTAACACTCCAAATATATATCAATACAATAAATAAATTGTAAACACTTCTGACAGACTGACACAACCAATTCTCTAGATATTTCTATGACCAAGGGCAATAAATGGATCAGAACTGTGTCAACTAAAAAAGCATGCAAACTCATAGCTTATCATTAAATAATAAGTACACAATAAAAATCAGGTAAACATATGCAAGCACAGTGAAAAAAAGGTCAAAACACATACTGTGGATGCCTGGGATACCAATTTTCATGGATTTTTGCGTAAATGTAAACCACAAATTGAAATGTTTAACAACTACACATTTTAATAGTATTTTGGTGGATTCTTGATTTGATGGTTTTTCCACAATTTGCACACAAGCCTATAGGAAGTTGCTTTGTTATAAATTTAAATTCGTAGTTCCTCTATACCAAAGAAAATTTGGTATCCAATAATGAATCCACAGTAAGCACAACAAGAATGTGTCCATAGTACATGGACGCCCCATTCGCACTATCATTTTCTATGTTCAGTGGACCGTGAAATTGGGGTCAAAACTCTAATTTGGCACTAAAATTAGAAAGATCATATCATAGGGAACATGTGTACTAAGTTTCAAGTTGATTGGACTTCAACTTCATCAAAAACTACCTTGACCAAAAACTTTTAACCTGAAGCGGGACAGATGGACGAACGAACAAACGGACGGATGCACAGACCGAAAAACATAATGCCCCTAGGTGGGGCATAAAAATAGAAGCTACCATATTGTTGACCTTTTATATACTTACCAAGGACTTATTTCTGTTGTTGATGTAATGTGACGATTAATCAAAGTGATTGGTTTATCTGTCCTGTCTGGTGGAGTGACATCAATTGTAAGCGGATCAGAAAATTTTTCTGTCTCTCTATTGGCAAAATCAACAGCTAAAAAAAATGAGCAAAGTTAATATTATTCAATTCATCTCTATGTCATTGTAGCAAAATCTTTCTAAATTCTCAAAACAATTATGCTAATTTTATTGCTATTTTTGGTTTATGTACCAATACCGCTTATCACGATTTGTCCATCATTACTGTATATCACAGACGTTCCTTAAAAATGTTGATGCCACAGGAGAAAATCTGACAGCATAAAGCAAAATGATTATTGTATGAGGTCAATAGGTCAAGTATTGCATAATCTCAGGTCAAGTGTTGCAGAATTCCAAATAGTTATGAAGTCTAATAGTTCATCCAAATATCAAAATGGCAGGAAAACGTATACTACTATCTTTTATTTTGCAGTGTCAATTTCTTTTCTTTCAAATTTTTTTTGTTTTTTCTATTTCAAAATCTCAGATGTAATATTGACATTATGGTCATAGAAGGAATTACCTTTAAGAGTTGCGTAATACACATATCCATCCTGAAGAGCGAGTCTATGTAAAGCTTTATGCTGTACCACGCCTACATTTTCAAATGGATACACATCATTACCTCCTGGTGTTGTTCCTGTCAAAAATAAAACATGTGTTGATTAGTCTTACATAAAACCTTATCTGTTTATTCTTCTTTACTATCATCAAAGTTTGTTTCAACATATAGAAATAATCTGTATTATCTGAACTTGACAGCCATTGAATGTGTGTTTCTGAGTTGATTCACTCAGAGCAAAGCAACCACTTCAGGACTGCCAATTCTGTAGTTCTTACAAAAAAGCCAACTATAAGTTTTCAAAACTGCCTTAACTGGTACATGAAATATTCTTAGTAAGTTTGTGAACTTAAAATGAACAGTTTTATGAACTAAAAGTGGACAAACAATGTTCATGAACTTATTCAGTAAAGAATAGTTCATGAACACAATAACTCATATTTTCATGAACTGGAATTGTTCATGAGTAAAGTTTAAGAAATATTCACATCAAAAATTATAAACTGTAAATAAAAAATTCATGAACAGAAAACAGACAAGAATATTCATGCACAATTCATTAACAGTTCATGGATATTTTAATAAAGATTCATGAAATGCGTTTATAAATAATTTTTGTATGATTCATAAACAATTCATCAACATTTTGCAGTGATAATACCCCAGAAGCATGGAACTGTGAATGGTACAATAAATTACTACTGCTCCTTCTCTTTTATTATAACAGCATAAAGCTTTGACTAGTAGTCATACTTAACATCACCCATTATAAACCCTTTAAAGTCCAGGAAGTAAAAAGCCAAATATATAACCCCATTTCCATTCTCAATTTTATATATATATATATATATATATATATATATATATATACATACAAGAGTGCACACCCTGAAATGTCTCGCCTTCTTTACTAATCATTGATATTATGTTGATAGTCCTAAATATAAAGCTTTATTACAACTGTCACATAAACTTCACATTAACCAAGTAAACTAAACATTGACCAATGAACCATGAAAATGAGGTCAAGGTCAGATGAACCATGCTAGGCAGGCATGTACAGCTAACAATTCTTCCTTACAACAAATATAGTTGACCTATTGCTTATAGTTTAAGAAAAACAGACGAAAACACAAAAAGTTAACACTGAGCAATGAACCTTGAAAATGAGGTCAAGGTCAAATAAAACCTGCGTGACTGACATATAGATCATAAAATATTTCCATACACCAAATATAGTTGAACTATTGCATATAGTATTAGAAAAAAAGACCAAAACTCAAAAACTTAACTTTGACCACTGAACCATGAAAATGAGGTCAAGGTAAGATGACACCTGCCAGCTAGACATGTACACCTTACAATCATTCCATACACCAAATATAGCTGACCTATTGCATGCAGTATTAGAAAAAAAGACCAAAACTCAAAAACTTAACTTTGACCACTGAACCATGAAAATGAGGTCAAGGTCAGATGACACCTGCCAGCTAGACATGTACACCTTACAATCATTCCATACACCTAATATAGTAGACCTATTGCATACAGTATAAGAAAAACAGACCAAAACACAAAAACTTAACTATAACCACTGAACCATGAAAATGAGGTCAAGGTCAGATGACACCTGCCAGTTGGACATGTACACCTTACAGTCCTTCCATACACCGAATATACTAGACCTATTGCTTATAGTATCTGAGATATGGACTTGACCACGAAAACTTAACCTTGTTCACTGATCCATGAAATGAGGTCGAGGTCAAGTGAAAACTGTCTGACGGGCATGAGGACCTTGCAAGGTACGCACATACCAAATATAGTTATCCTATTACTTATAATAAGAGAGAATTTAACATTACAAAAAATCTGAACTTTTTTTTCAAGTAGTCACTGAACCATGAAAATGAGGTCAAGGACATTGGACATGTGACTGACGGAAACTTCGTAACATGAGGCATCCATATACAAAGTATGAAGCATCCAGGTCTTCCATCTTCTAAAATATAAAGCTTTTAAGAAGTTAGCTAACGCCGCCGCCGCCACCGCCGCCGCCGCCGCCGGATCGCTATCCCTATGTCGAGCTTTCTGCGACAAAAGTCGCAGGCTCGACAAAAACCTCCTAAATTGAGGTAAATTATATGGCCTTCCAAATACTGTTACCGATTCCTAACATCACTGAAGAGACATTAATTGTCGAAATCCGGATATGATGTACTAATTTTTGCATTTGGTTGCGGTATACCATCTTTTCCGCAAGTTTATTGTTTTCTGTTTGGTATTAAATTAATAGTTAAGATCCATTTTGTTACATCTGGTGATCTGTTTATTTGGCAATTGCCAATGGCAGTCAGCAGGGTTTAAGAACATCCATTGTTTGACCTGCTAGTCAAATGTGTTTTGTTAAAATATACTTTTTCACTTTTTTGGTCTTTTGGAACAATGTTGTTTGTGCTGTATTTAGACCCCTCTACCAAGAAATTTATTGCATGCACACGTATAAAAATTGCGGTTTTTATCCAATGCAATCATAGGTTTGAACATTGTTTTCAATTTAGACTTGTATATACATAAAACCATGATTAGCATTAGGCTATTAAAGACTGTTACAGATACTTACCAATACCCAGTACATACTCCTTTATACCAGTGGCATGGGGCCCAGTTTTATATTCTTCTACATCATGAAAACCATCCCAGTTTATATACAGGTCTGTATTAGAAGTCTGAAGTATAATCATAGGATATTTAATATATAATCAAATTTTTTCAGGACTATAACTTAGTGGTTTATGGTTAAAATAGAGGATTACAAATTGGTGCATTTTTCAATTTTTGTTGTTGCAGATTGCAAATTCATAAATATTTGATTAACAGGTAAAGAACTTATCTGTGCATTAATTACATTTACGCACATTACTCTTACATTTGTGCCTAAAAATCATTACATTTGCACACAGCTTTTAACACATTTGCACACATTCATTTTGCAGGTAAACACAGATAAATTATACTTATTTATCTATTTAGTACCCCTTCTGTTAGTCCAATTCCCCTGCTCACCAATGAGGAGGTGGAAGTGGTCTCAATCAGGATTGGCTCATTTTATGATGCACAACCACAAAGACCTTAAAATATGAAAACTAAATAGGTAAAAACATAGCAAATCTGAAGAGTAATGGGATTTCTCATGATCACTTCATATATTTTTTAAGAATTCATGTGAAAAAAATATAATTTAAAATTATAAATATTTTTTAAATTAATAACTTTTGATACATTTACTAAGAATGATCTTTATAGTTATCTGTGTTACCTATAAAATGAATAAGCACCCAAAAAAAGGTGTTCGCAAACATAAAATAATTAATCCCCAAATGTATGCAAATGTAAAGTACCCAAACTTTTTGCAGGTTTAAAGTTGTAAAACAGATTATCAGTATAAACTAAAAAGTCCCTGTCATATTATGATATAGTTCTGTATAAATTAGAAATTTTAAAAAAATACAATTATTTCATTTATGAAAGAAATTGCAATATTGATAAAAGCACATTTTGTATAAAGTCTTTAATGATTATAAATTAAGACACTGAACACCAGATGCAGTTTCCAAAATGATTAATTCCTTACAATAGGACACTTTACAAACCAGAATTAAAATAAAACTAGATAAACAATGCTATTCAAAATATATGGGAGTTAGAAGAAGTTCCAGAGGACAATATAACTACCGGTAAATCTGATAGACACACTAGGATTCAACATAAATTTAAGCAAATTTCAACTAATAAAGATTTCTAGAAATATTCTTTTTACCCCAACACCATCTCAGAATGGAATTCACTACCTGAAGTAATAGGTATGTCTGAAACCCTGGAATCCTTCAAAAGTGGCATCCAAACTCTACCATTTTAAAGGATTCACACCAAATGATTAAACAACCAAAGCTAATGTACATGATGTATATATGTTAATCAATAGATTATTTTTATTCTCTTGTTAATAGTAAATTTCAATTAAGTTACATAGCAGAAGTTCAGGGAAGCTTTAAGTTCCTATCTATGAGTCTTACTTCTGTATCCTAAAGAAAATACATGTGAAATAAAAATTGGCAAATTTTCTTTTGTCTCTATAAAAATAGGCAAAAACTTGTGAAACTATGCATTTTTCCATAAATAAGTCTATAATCACCTGATAAATTATACCCAGATTTAAACCAATCCACAATCTGCCTGCCACAGGTGGTGTAAGATCAACAACAATACCATCACTACAGGAATTAATTTCTTCTAGATACTCAATCCACGTCTCTCTCATTATTTGTATAGGATTAGCATGTACACATACAGTGTAGCGTGTTCCATGGACAAGCTCATTGTTACTGAATATTTCATTCATGAAACCATTACCTACAAGATAAATTTCAATGTCTAAAAACTGATTTTAATTTTTTAATTTAACCTTTTATCACAAAAGGATTACGTTTTTTTTAAATGAAACTGACCAGGTAAATGATCAAGATTTCTATTTTTAGATACTGTCAGCCTACAACAGCAATAAGAGTCTTATTCTATCTTATGTATTGCAACGCAAAAATTCGGGGAACCTTCCCGGTGGTGTTATCGACGGGTAGTTCGTGACCTGAGAAGATCCTTTTGCGTATAAAATAAGGGATTCTTGTGTTGCGTGGACCTTTTCCTCTGACTAACTAAAATAAACACGAAGTCGCTGTGGTAAAGTTCAACAGTGTATTAAAGAAATCATGTTAAGTATCATTAAACACAATACACAGTAATAACAGAATATACAGTATATACAGAATACACACTAAGTACTATTAGCAATCCTCCAATCTCGTTCTCTATCGTCAGCTCTACTGTATCACAATAATCACTCCCTTTTATACCTTCACTTGCCATATGGGCTTCTTATGGGCACTAGAGTTTCTGGGCACCCGGGCTTATGGATACAGGGCTTATGGGCACCCGGGCTTATGGGCAACTGGGCTTATGGGTACCAGGGCTTATGGACACCATATATATTAGGGCTACCGTGTACCAGGTATTACCAGGGCTTACAGGCTCCATAATTTATTAGGACCATAAAGCACCATGTAATACTTAGTCATAGCTGGTTAGCCCCAAATATTAGGGTCCTAAAACACCAAGTTTCCACACCCTATAAATTTTCATTACAGTATATTATATCAAATATCTGAATGAAGTTAAACCATGTCAAAATAATTATGGGAACACGTCTCTTATACTGAGCAAGTCATCTGGTTAAAATTGACCTAAATGCTAAAGCTCTCTACACTCATTTCTAAAAATGACAAGGGGTCTGCAAGTCTTTTAGCCATGCTATATAACAGTGAACATCAATGTTCTACCCTGCCTACTAGGTTTTTCAAAGTATTGAAAAGTGAGTTCATATGTACAATGCTTAGAAAATTGTGAGAGTGATTTCATATGTTCTGTGTATAGATAATTGTGTAATAAGATTCACATTTTAAAATCATAAATATTCTGTATATCTCAAACTTTTAGGGTTTCAAATTTGTATGTTCATAAAATTTAGCATTCTTTTAATTTGTAGTTGTGACTTTTCAACATTGTTATTATAATGACAAATTTTCATGAACAACTTTTTATTTGGATTTTTGCAAGTAGAAAAATAAGTTGAATTTATCATAAATTGTTTAGAATATGTCCAACTAAGATCTTCTAAATGGATATTACAGCATAGTTAATTAAGAAAATAAAAAAAAAGGTGCATTACAGTATTAAAATAATGACAAGTGCATTGCATCCTTACTTGTATGGCCACATCTTATACTGTCAGGATGATCACAAGGCTTTTCTAAATTCAGCTGGCTTATCTGACGGTAGTATGTTGTTACATCTACAGTCTTTGCATCTAATATAGCATAATCATAATCCTTATGACGTAGAGTAGGCCACACAGCAGATATTAGATTCTTGTATGGGGTATAATCCATGTCTGGCTCTGGCCAATATGCATTTTCTTCCAGATAAATCAGTTTCCCATGACTATCTGAAAATATTCAAAATATATATTTTAAAATCTTAATGTACTTTTAGTGATTTTATAGGCATGTAAATCAATGAACTGCTTACTTATGGGAGTTTTTAATGACCTTGATTGCAGGTAATTTTGCAAGATTTATTGATTGATTGTTGCTTGCTTGACGTCATGTGGCAATTGCATTTCCTTATATGGATTAGTAGTGCTACATACTATATACTTGTCTAAATCCATTTTTGTCGAGCCTTCCACTTTTGTCGAAAAAGCGAGACATAGCGATCTTACATTCCGTTGGAGTCGGCGGCGGCGGCGTCCACAAATATTCACTCTGTGGTTACAGTTTTTTGAAATTTTAATAACTTTCTTAAACTAGCCTGGATTTCTACCAAACTTGGACAGAAGCTTGTTTATGATCATAAGATAATATTCAAAAGTAAATTTTGTAAAAACTTACTTATAAATGGACTTAGTTTTTCTGCCAGGAAACATTACATTCACTCTGTGGTTAAAGTTTTTGAAATTTTAACAACTTTCTTAAACTATCCTGGATTTGTACCAAACTTGGACAGAAGCTTGTTTATGATCATAAGATTGTATCCAGAAGTAAATTTTGTAAAAAAAAAATCCCATTTTTTCCTTATTTAACTTATAAATGGACTTAGTTTTTCTGTCAGTTAACATTACATTCACTCTGTGGTTAAAGTTTTTGAATTTTTTACAACTTTCTTAAACTATCCTGGATTTGTACCAAACTTGGACAGAAGCTTGTTTATGATTAAAAGCTAGTATCTAGTAGGAAATTTTGTTAAAATTTTGTTCCATTTTTTCCGTATTTTACTTATAAATGGAATTAGTTTTTCTTCCAGTTAACATTGCATACTGTGCAAAATTATACTCAGCCGAATTAAAGATGCAATTGATCAGGTACTAAGAGATGAACAAGCAGGTTTCAGATCAAACAGAAGCTGCACTGACCAAATAGCAACACTACGTACCATCATTGAACAATCAGTAGAATGGCAATCATCCCTCTACATCAACTTCGTCGATTTTGAAAGGGCATTCGATAGTGTCAACAGAGAAGGGATGTGGCAACTGATAAGGCATTATGGTATACCAACAAAAATTGTGAACATGATCAAGGCATTGTACGAGGATTTCACAGTACAGGTGATACATGAATCATCATTCACCAACCCTTTACATGTAAATACTGGTGTGAAACAAGGCTGCCTACTCTCCCCTACACTATTCTTGATAGCTATAGACTGGGTAAATAAGCAAGCACTAGATACTACACCAAGAGGTATACAGTGGAACTTCGCACAAAGGCTAGAAGACCTAGATTTTGCAGATGACCTGGCTCTGTTATCTCACCTTTTGAAAGACATGAGAGACAAAACCACCAAACTCCATGAAACAGGAAAAAAACTAGGCCTAAAAATCAACATTAAGAAGACAAAAATTATGAAAGTAAAGACTAGAAAAGGAGGAATAGTTTCAACTGAAGGAGAAGATCTTGAAGAAGTAGACCAATTTACTTATTTAGGAAGCATCATGGATAGAATGGGTGGGACAGATGCAGACATAAGAACAAGAATAAGTAAAGCTCGACAAGCCTTTGCTATGCTGAAGCCAGTTTGGAAATCAACAGCATTTACAGAAAACACCAAAATTCGAATTTTCAACACCAATGTAAAATCAGTCCTTTTTTATGGAGCAGAAACCTGGAGACTCACAGCAGGGGTACAACATCAAATCCAGGTTTTTATCAACAAATGCCTGCGCCAAATTTGTAAATTTTGGTGGCCAGAAACAATAAGTAACAAATGCTTATGGGAAAGGACCAACCAGGAACCCGCAATTAAACAGCTAAAGAATAGAACATGGCAATGGATTGGGCACACTTTGAGGAAACCTGTAGGTACCATCACTAGACAAGCATTAGAATGGAACCCCCAAGGACATCGGAGACCGGGGAGACCATTTCACAGCTGGAGAAGATCAAGGCGCAAGGAGCTGGAGGAGATTGGATATACCTGGAACGAAGCAAAAAGAATAGCCCAAAATAGAGTAAGGTGGAAAGCGACTGTGGCAGCCCTATGTTCCACAAGGAATGAAGAGGATTAAGTCAGTCAGAAGTAAGTAACATTGCATACAGTCTGCAGTTAAAGTTTTTAAAACATTTATTAGATTCATAAACTAGCCTGGATTTTTACCAAACTTGGACAGAAGCTACTTACAATCAAAAGATAGTATAGAGAGGAATATTTTTATTAATTTTTTTCCTCATTTTTGTTGAGCCTGCGATTAACAGCAAAAGTAGGCGAGACACTGGGTTCCGCGGAACCCTTACAAATTTTTTTAAACAGATATAGAGCTACAAAAAATGTATTCATTCCTGATAATTAGATCATTTTCATATTAAATTTAACTTTTGCAATGTCGTTTGTTTTTCCAATTTAAATTGATCCAAAATACATATACATCAAACTATGCATTATATATTATAACCTTTAAAAAAAAGTTTTACCAATTATAATATAGAGTTGAAATATTCCAGACATTTATATAAATTCACATAAACAGTTGGTTTGTGACAGCTTCAATATAAATTACCATAGACAGTGCATTTCTTTTTCTGCACTATTGCAAAGTATCGGCTTCAATATGGCATTAACTCAAAGACTGTTCACAAAGTTTATAATATGTAATAATACAGGACCTCAAACTATTACATCTTATATCAATAGAAAAAAATGAAAATAACACAAAAATTTCATGAGTCTGAAAGTACTTTTCTGGATGTACCTTCATCAGGAGCGCTCAAAGTCGACAAAAATTTGAAAGCCAAAGTAGGTAAACATTTATACTTCCAAAATATGTATTTAATAATTCAACCTCTCTATACATGATCAGTAATTTATTCGCAATTCAACACCTAACCAGATGTAAAACCCTTTTCTTCCTAAAATTCTGTAAATCATTCATATTTCCAGCCCTTATTGTACATGTTGTATATTAGAACAGTAAATTATCTGTAATTCATCCACTACAGGTAACAGTACGCCCCTTACTGTGGATTCATTGTTATTCTTAGGATACCAATTTTTGTGGATTTCGTGGGTGTAGGGAAACAATGAATTTAAATGTCCATCAATGTTTTAATTTTCTATAGGCTTGTATGCAGACTTCATCAAAACCATGAAATAAAAAATCCAGGTAATAAATCATTTTTCTTTAATCCAAGAATATTGGTAGCCACAAAAATAAACAAATCCATAGTTGTCTATATAAGAGCATTAAATCATTTGATATTCAACCCTTTGCTAGGTTTTACACTTTTACTGTATATTAAGAGTAGAAGTTCATATGAAGTTAAAGCCTTCACTAGAAAATATTTGTATTTCAATCCTTGACAATAGGATACTCCCATTATTGTTTTCTAAGCTTACAAGGTCAAATTCCTCTACTAAAGGTTTCTTTTTAGAATATATAATATTGTTACCTAAAGCATCAGGAGCTCCAACAGCATCAATGACAATATTAGGTATTATCAGTACAGGGTTATATGCATCACAGTCTTTAACCTCAGTAGATATGGTTGTGTATAACTTGACATTGTTGTATCCTCTTATAGAAAATCTTTTACATTTTGAAAAATCCATTGTACCATTAAATCCATATTCAAATGATATCTGAAAAAACAAATTTTGCTTTCATTCTTTATATGATATTTTTAAAAACAAGTGCTCTGCTATTAACCGAACAGTCACTGGTTTGACCAGCTTCCTGCAAAATTCAAATTATAATTTTTTTCATACAGAACTTTACATTTTTCTATTATTGAAGACCATATAATACATTAAATTGATTACAGGAAATGGTGGAGAGAATACCACACAGCACAACAGACCACACAAACCAATAACTTTGCTGAAAACATACAATAATAAAAAGACAAACAACAAACAACACATGGTCAAGATATAAAAATTAGAAGATGTGGTATGATTGCCAACGAGACAACTCTCCAGTAGAGACCAAATGACACAGAAATTAACTATAGGTCACTGTACGGATAGCCTGACTTGGTATAGGCACAACATTTGGTGAGGTTAAACCAGTATTATGTGAACACAAACCTCCAAGTTCTCCTTTCTAGACAATATATCCTAAAGGCAGAACCTGCACAGTACAGATACCTTGTTTTTTTTGTCTCATTTGGTTGCTATCTCATTGGCATATACCCCACATATTTTTTGGTTCATCTGTAGCAAGAAAAGACTAAACACTTAATTAAAAAATAAAATTTAAAATATAGTAACTCTTTACATTCTGAAACATTTTTGCCATATAAAATAATTATGGGATGTGGTATGAGTCCAAATGATATGTATGTTAGCAACTAAAGGTCAGCATATGAACTCATATGAATGTTACCTGATTTGCAGTAGTTGTAAAGGTGACTAGATTAGTCCATGTCATGTAGGGCTTTCCGTGTATAGAGTTATCTGTGATGGCAAACTCATACTTGTCAACAGCATCATATTTTTCTTTCGTATCTTCAATATCAGGGTCATAAAATTGATTGAAAGACACCAATAACTGAAAATGATAATTAAAATATAAGTTAAATCACGTCTACAGTAGTATGACACAGACATGCTGAGCATCATTAGAGAGACTAACCATAACAATAGTGCATGCACATATATTTTGGAATAAATTTTTATCTTTCAAGACAGGTTTTATAAATCCAATTCTTCCAACACATTAAAAAAGAAAAAAAAATTATTGGTCAAAATGGAATTCTTCAGCAGATTAAATTCAATTCAATCATATTTTTGCCAAAATAACAATAACAAAATGATTGTGGATATAAGTTTCAGATATTTTTTTTTTTTGGAGTGGATGGATGCTGACTTTGGTGCAAAATATGAAGGGGTCAATGTAGATCTTGATGAAATCAATCCCAGATATGATATTCTTAACTATGAAATACCAGATATATCCAAAAACAGTGATAATTCATAAATGATATGAATTGGACAGTAGAGAAAATTTCTTCTATTAAAACTGATTTATCCAAAATGCATACACTACACATGGAACTTGTGTAAAAACATATAAAATATGCACACTTGTTAGCATAAACTTTATTAGTGCTCTATGTGTGGAAAACCACTAAGTGTGTTGGATTGATCAACTGTTGCTTGCCTAATGATTAATGGCAATTGTATAGCACTAGACTCTTGAGGAAAATGGCATGATTTGTGTTTTGAATTCTGTTGCACTTGATTTTATTAGCTAATCATTTAAATCAGCACCAGTTAAAAGTTGACCTATTTTCTTAGCTCTTCAAATGTTAACCTTGATCTCAACTGTGACATACCTTCTCAACCCCATTTCCTTCTGTGGTATTTAGATGTTCTATGGTAATGTCTCCTGCTGTGGGAGGATTTGCTATCACCATGACACCATCCGTGTGGATAGTTTGGAAACAAATGGTCCTCGCACACAGTTTCAGTACAATACGGTATTTAATTCCTGGATCTAATATCAGATCATCTATACTAACATCAAAAACGGTTGAATAATGCACAAAATCTCTAAAAGTAGTCCACATATCTGAAAACAAATAAAAAAAACATCTCAGGCTCAAAGACATACTTAAGCACAGGCAGTACAAATAATAAAATTCATTATCTTATCGAAAAATATCTGAAAATGTCTTCTAAAAATGATTTATTTCAATTTTTTTTTTATCTAGTTAAACAGACTATTTAATGTGTATGTAACAATAGTTCAAAATTGTAATGCAGTTATAATGGCTTTTCACAGTAACTGAACATTTCTGACAGATGTATTTATCTTACCCCAAACGTTAAGATTAAATAATAGAAAAAATGTTCTAATATAGCATTATAAGGTACTGACAACTTTTCATGCTAGATATTCCATGAAAGCACTTCCATTTTGAAAGGTGAATTACTTCCCTTTGTATATTCTATGTGACTGTCATACAAGTGAGAAGTTTAGCTAGCTATAAAACCAGGTTTAATCAACCATGTTATGCACAAGGTAATGCCTGTACCAAGTCAAGAATATGACAGTTGTTTTCCATTCGTTAGAAGTGTTTGAGCTTTTGATTTTGCCATTTGACTCCCGTTTTGAATTTTCCTTGGAATTCGATATTTTTGTTAATTTCCTTTTTTCTGACTTACTTCCAGTTCCAGTTCTTTTTTCTATAGCAATGTAAGCATCTCTTGTGTATGGTTGTAGACCTACTGGTACAGACCAGTACGCTTTAAGAGAGCTAGTGGACATCTGAACATCAACATCATCTGCACAATATATTCTGTTGTCCTGCATCAAAAACACACACCTTTGACATTAAAATGTACTTGTTTGAAGTATGAACCATGTATTATATAATACAGTTTCTTATAGCAAAATGTCATTAAAATACCATCATACCTTTCAAGGAATTAACCTAAGAAATTTAACTTTGCAAATTTTTTTTTCATCAGAAGCAAAATCGTAAATTCCAATCCTAAAAAGTAATGAAAATGCATTTTCTATTAATTCTAAATGTTAAAGGAATATAACTGTTTGGATGAGGCATTTCTTAAATTGAGTTATTTTAAAACAATAAGCCATGTAAAATCCTGGTAGATATTCAAATGATTGATCCTTAAATTTTTATGTTGGTGAAAGCAATTTATTTTATATTTACAGTAGAATTATTTAGTTATATCATAGTAAGTGAAATGTCCTTTTAGATATTTTTTTTAGTTTTGCAAAAGTTTATACTCAATAACTGGAGAAATTTGAATAAGTGTACAAAAAAAAAATTCAATGATTCTAATATCAAAAGGGCAAAAAAAAATCCATAAAATGTATGACATTTTAGGAATGTTTAACCAACTTGGATGAAATAGAAATAGGTTGTTACACTTTTCAATACTTCAATACTTATTTTCACTGATACATTATTACTGATACATTATTTCTCATTTAGCCCTTTTTGGCCCACTTCGCAACGATTTATTTTTCGTGATTTTATAATTTTCTGGATGCATTTAAACAAGGGAAGGTATAACTTTTATGTATTTGCAATGATTTATATTTGTGTTATTTTTCTACTAGCAAAAGTAGCAAAAATAAATTTGCTCACAAAAACAGTTGGTTTACAGTATATTTTAATAGGTTCAAAATATGCTTCAACTTCCTTGGTCCTATTTTGTATAATAATACCAAGGCTATGTAAATTATAATGGAATTATATTTTTAACTTACATCTTCATGATGGCCCAAAGTTATATCTGAAACAGAATGACACATGGTTATCACAGTATATAAATCACATGACTAACTCTTGTTATTCTTCAAAATGAAAAAAAAACTTCGAAAATATGACGTTAATAAATAATTTTATTGGTTGTATTATTTTATATTGCATCATCATGCAGTTCATGCCATCTAATAAACAGAATAAAACATTTCAAAATTATTTGATATTCATTTGACTACTGCTAATAGAACAGACATGATAGACCATCATGGATAGAGAAGATCAGTGTCATCAGTTCTGTCATCTTAGTCATACATTAGTCTCACATCATAGACCCCATATTTTGTTATTTTATATGCTCAAAGGCATAATGCAAAAACTTTAGAGATTCAATAAATATTGACCTCTTAATGTTCAATGGCAAATATTAAATATTCAGGATGCTAACATGATGATGAAGGATGGCTGTTCAATGTCAATCAGTGTCCAGCAGCGTCCAGCAAATCAAATGCATATTCAAGAGGAGAACTTGTTAATGTAATATGAATATTAACCTGGCTCTGTACTAGACCAACACACTGAACCAGCTTTTTTGACGAGCTATTTCACAAAGAACAGTTCGCAGGAAGACATGTCAACCTACCAGTACCTGTACAAATTATGCATCTGAGACGACCAGTCTTTGCTGTTACTACTTTAAATGCTGTGTGCTTAGCCGAGAAATAGCAAATAAAAATTTTAAGTCTTTGGTTTGACCCAGGCAGGGTTCAACCCACAACCTCACACACTCAAGGCAAACACATTACTACGAGACCACAGAGGTGGTATCAGGATACAAATATGTTAATATGACATCAAAATAAACTGCTTTGTACTTTATTTTTAAACTATACTTAACTTTTCAATATGTTAACTCAGAGGGTAACTTAGTCTGCATGGAGAACATATCTTATAATCTGAAAATTGTGTGACTCAGTTTATAAAATCAGACCTGTTGCTATGGTTAATATTAACTGAACTAACTTACCAGTCATATTACAGGGTTTCCCATCATTGATTGTAATTCCTGATAGGGCATCATTTTCTGTTACTATGGTTACACCATCAGACGACACTGCTGTATCACCTGCTGAACTTATAGCAGTCACAGTTAAATAGTATGTCTGAAAAGATGTGACAATGTTTAAAAGATTTCATGTACTGATTAAATGGAAAATCAAAAATATTCAAATCTGGTCATGATTAAAGTGTTGCTACCAGCAATTCCTGTAATAAATACAACAATATTGTTAGTAAATCAGCGAATAAATGAAGGTTTGCAATAGTGAAAAGATTATTGGTTGTCTAGTAATTAACATATCACAAGAGTGCACACGCTGAAATGTCTCGCCTTCTTTACTAACCATTGATTTTATGTTGATAGTCCTAAATATAAAGCTTTACTACAAGTAACACATAAACTTAACATGATCCAAGAAAATGAGGTCAAGATCAGATAAATCTAACGAGAAATACATGTACACCTCACAATCATTCAATAAACCAAACATAGTTGACCTACTGCTTATAGTTTCTAAGAAACAGTCTAAACCAAGAAAACTTAACATTGACCAATGAACCATGAAAATGAGGTCAAGGTCAGATGAACCATGCCAGACAGACAAGTACACCTTACAATCAATTTATGCATTAAATATAGTTGACCTATTGCTTATAGTATCTAAGAAACAAACTTAACCATGAAAACTTAACATTGACCAATGAGCCATGAAAACAAGGTCAAGGTCAGATGATACCTGCCAGACAGACATATACACCTTACAATCCTTCCATACAACAAATAAAGTTGATCTATTGCTTATAGTTGAAGAAAAACAGACCAAAACACAAAAACTTAACACTGAGAAATGAACTGTGAAAATGAGGTCAAGGTCAAATAAAACCTGCGAGACTGACATGTACATCATAAAATATTTCCATACACCAAATATAGTTGACCTATTGCATATAGTATTAGAAAAAAAGACCAAAACTCAAAAACTTAACTTTGACCACTGAACCATAAAAAGGTCAGATGACACCTACCAGTTGGACATGTACACCTTACAATCATTCCATATACCAAATATAGTAGACCTACTGCTTATAGTATCTGATATATGGACTTGACCACGAAAACTTAACCTTGTTCACTGATCCATGAAATGAGGTCGAGGTCAAATGAAAATTGTCTGACGGGCATGAGGACCTTGCAAGGTACGCACATACTAAATATAGTTATCCTATTACTCATAATAAGAAAGAAATTAACATTACAAAAAAGTAGTCACTGAACCATGAAAATGAGGTCAAGGACAAGAAACTTCGTAACATAAGGCATCTATATACAAAGTATGAAGCATCCAGGTCTTCTAGCTTTTAAAATATAAAGCTTTTAAGAAGTAAGCTAACGCCGCCGCTGCCGGATCACTATCCCTATGTCGAGCTTTCTGTGACAAAAGTCGCAGGCTTGACAAAAATCATGTGACCTGATAATATGTTAATTCAAAATATAATACAAGCTGAAAAGTATCGCCTGCTTTACTTACCATGATTAAATTTATGTTGAAAGTCTGTAATATGAAGGTTTACACTTCAAGCATTATATACTCTTAACATTACCAATGATCCATGAAAATGATGTTAAGGTCAGATGAACCCTGCCAGACAGATATGCACACCTTGCAATCATTCAATGCACCTAATAGAGTGGCCCTATTGCTAATAGTATCTGATAAATAGAAGCAAACAACAAAATCTAAACATTGTCCAATGAACCATGAAAAAGAGGTCAAGGTCAACCCTTTACAATCATTTCATGCACCAAATATAGTGACTTGACCACAAAAATTTAACCTTGATCACTCATCCATGAAATGAGGATGAGGTCAGGTGAACCCAGTCTTGGATAGACATGTAGACTTTGCAAGGAAACCATATACCAAATATAGTTATCCTATTACTCATAAAATGAGAAATTTACACACAAAAAATAAACTGTAAACTCTTTTCAAGCAGTCGCTGAACCTTAAAAATGAGATCAAGGATAAAGGACATATGACAGACAGGAACTTCGTAACATAAGGGATCTGCATACAAAGTATGAGGCATCTAGGTCTTCTACCCTATGAAATGTTTAACTTTATACAAATATCTAACACTGTTGCCGCAGCTGCAGGATTGTAATCCCATTGTCTCGGATTTAGTGACTTTCCTCGGGGGTGAAACAATCAAATAAAAAATATTGTTTGCCTTTGTTTCATTCAAAATCATAAGGCAGTGTTTAACTTCTTAAAGATTTGTAATGAGTACAGTGAACCAACACCCTGAAGTGGTCAACGAGTGGTATCGGTAAAGTTATAGATTTGTTCGTTGTTAAAGATGAAATCAGGCACCTTATTGAACAGTACAGATATCTAAATTCTAACAGCACTTGTGCTAAATTGAGCTATACTTCCAACAAAGAGAAATTGTACAATGAATATTACTTATTTTACCTCAAATGGTGTCAGAGTTGATCCTAATTCTTCGTGAGACAAACTTGTACCGACATCTTTCATAGACACTACATCACTTCCTCCTACCGTTGTACCAATACTTATATTGTACGTCACATCTAAATGTGGATGAGCAAATCCTGACCATCGAGCTGACAAGCTGTTAGCAGATGTCTGAAAATCTATATCTTCTATGTCCTAGAAAAAAATTGAGAACTTGAAAATTTCATTATCTTGAAAGACCTTTAATAAAAACTTATCCAACTGACTGTGAGACAATAACAGCAAATAAATAAGTATCATTTTGTCCTTTGATACATCAAAAATAGAAGTAATAAAAATAAATTTCAATCTTATAAATAAATTGCCACATCATTTTGTAAATTATTCAGAATTGAAGTAGTTATTTACTAAATATTATAATGCTAAATGCTAAGTAATGATCTTACCTTTAATGGAATATCAGTGACAAAATTCTGAAAGAAACAATACAGTTATATTTACAAGTGTAAACAAAAAATGTGATATTTTCTTGCAATGAAAGTGAAATGTGTTAAATAGAGTGATTGTAAAGTATGGAATATTAAACATAAGAGAAAGTTCTCTGTTATGCAACTTGGTGTCTGATAATTGTTTAATTATGAAAATGTATTCAACTTGTCACTGGATTTTTACTTTCCCTTCTGGAGCACCTCTGAGTTCACCTCTGGTTTCTGGTTGAACTTATGTTTCTCAAACTTTAGTTTTATGTATAGCATTTTGTGGACTGTTATTTATCTTTGAGTTGTTTTGTTTTTTGGCTGTGATGTACATTGCTTGTTTTTCTTCAATTGATGACTTTTGATTGACCCTTAGTGTTTGACAACTTTGCTCAATAAAAATATGTGAAAGCATTTATTGACAATACCAGTATATATCAGTTTAACTGCACTTTATTCACATATATTTATGAAAATATTGACTTAATAGTTTGTCTAGTTTTCTTTTTCCCTATGCTGTTGATGAATTCTAGCAAATGTAAAATGAAAAATTTTATGATGTAAATTCAAATTAAATGAAGACTAGCAAACCTGTGGGTCAATATCTATAATAACTCCCTCAGCTGGCAATTGAACATCATGAATATATGGATCAGATGTCTGAATGGTTACCAGTCCTGCACTGTTAGTTATTTTGATTGACACATAGTATGAGTGATGGCCATGCAGAAACCAGTCCATATTTGTTATATCGACTGCAGTACAGTTTGGTGGATAAGTCAAGGTACAGCTATCTCCTGACTGTAATGGTTGGAAATCTTGTATGTCTGTACCATATGCTGTGTGACCTGAAAGTTATTGTAATATTTCTAATATTAGATAATAAGCAAACACTTCAAATTTAATCAAAACTTATACTGTCATTTAAGGGTAATAACTCTGAAAAAGGGAAGACGGTCGAAAATGACATTTGGGGAATTTTTGCCCCATAAAATTTTTCTGTCTTTAATGAATTTTCAAGATATGGGATAATAAATTTTAACACCTGGTTGATTGACAGGAACAGAAAACACAAACTTTATACTAGATACCCTAAGGATTTTTAATCACAATCTTTGAATGAGTTTAGACAGTGAAATAAATCTAACTAGATATCATTGAGATGGGAGCCATCTCTGTGGGCCCCGCTGTGAATAATGTGTGGTAAAAAATTTGTATCTTTATCATTGGACATGGGGTTGTCAACTGAAACCAAAGTTTATGACCTTGACCTTTGACCTAGGAGGTTGTACATACATTATGACACACCTCTGGTGTTGGTTTATATACATGTCAAGTATAAACTTTGAAATCATAATGGTTCTCAAGATATAGAGCGGACATGATCTTTACCATAGGACATGGGGTTGTCAACTAAAACCAAAGTTTTTGACCTTGACCTTTGACCTAGGAAGTTGTACATACATTATGACACACCCTCTGGTGTTGTTTAATATACATGTCAAGTATAAACTTTGAAATCATAACGGTTCTCTAGATGTAGAGCGGACACAATTTGTTACGGACAGACAGACGGACAGACAGACTGATCACTATAGGGCGTCCGCCATTCGGCGGGGCCCTAATTAAAATCAGCAGTATGATAAGACTGAGACTCACCAACAGCAAAGTTGTAGTCAAGCTGGAAGAATTCTTCACTGTCGGAGACAGCGTCTTCAGGCCATGAAGTTATAAGGTAGTCCCCTGACAATTCTACTGTAAATACACTGCTGCTACCAACAAACTCTGGTGGTGTTGTATCCATAAAACATGGACCTAAAGTCTAAAAAATGTACTTGTTTAAAGTCACAGTAAAAACTTCATAGATAATAAAAACATAAAAATATAAATAAAGATGTATGATATTGCTATATGCAGGGCAATAAATGATCTTCAAATTCAAGTACAATGTCTTAAAATCAAATGCTTTACAAAGCCTTGATATTTTGACTTACTGTAAATTCAGAAATTATTGCGTGCATTTATTATTGCGATTTTGTCATTTTAGACTAAAATTCGATTTTAGTTTTTGCGATATTGAGAATAATCCTGGTTAATTTATATAAAAATTTTCAAAATGCGAGTTTTAATTATTGCGATTATAACCCTGTCGCATTTTTCGCAATAATAAAAACATCGCAATAATTTCTGAATTTACAGTACTCTACCAAATATGTTTGTGGTCCACATATTGCTGAAATTCTTAATTTTTACACAATTATAAGATATAACCATGCTCTTCATGACACTTTTTTTCCAAGAAATTCAAACATATTAACGTAAACAACAATTCAATTCATTTTTAACTGTGTATTTTATTTCTATTCTTATATGTAAAAAATAACATAAACAAAACCATTCAAATGATCATGATGACCTTAATAGGATGTGATCCAGGTTACGATTTAGAATAATATGCAAATCAATTAGTATCTGGAAATTAATGAAAGAACATTTTTCATCTATTAGTCAAATCTTAAACAATACTGAAAACTCAGAAATTATTGTGAGATTTTATTAAAGTGAATAATGCAACTGTGTGAATGACCCAATAAAAAGAACTCACAATACCATATCTTATACATATAACTGTATGCAGATTTTCCTATAATCGCAATAATTAATCTTTCGTTTTTGTCCTGTCTCCAAAATTGCAATAATAAATGCACACAATAACTTCTGAACTTGCAGTATTTTAATACTTAGAATCAGGGACCCATAATAAATTAGTACGTACTGTTAATCCTTCTACGTTAGATTTACTGATGCTTTTTATTATGATATAGAATTGTGTTCCATCTGGTATGTTTGTATGAACCACTCTGTGGTGGGCATGTTGTTTTGTTGATTCAAATGCCATGATATCTGGTGCAGCACTTCCTGATGTTGATGAAAATCCTAGTTCATAATCATATACTTTGGCTGGAATTTCTACAGGTTCCCAAGATATCTCCATCTGAAAGGTAATCATTGACATTTTTACCAGAATTCTAGTTGCTCCTAGGCAGGAGGGATATACAGAAAAAGAAGATTTACGTTTTCTTATTCCCTGTTTAGTTATGCTTGTGGATCATGCATAGCTTCAATTCCTTGCCAAGTTTTGATTTGGTTATAATCTTGGTCACTTTTGCTTTTATCAGATCTTCATAATTTGACTAAGCTTTTACATTTTAACATATTTTGACCTTGAGAATCAGTGAAAAGACATAAGATGTCGGCAACTGTACAGCTGGTGTGGAAAGTTGGAAATGTTGATGTGAAAATCTATGTGTTTATCAATTTGACTGGCCTACTTATGCTAATAAAGATAATACAGACACCTGTCTTTTGGAGACGACTGTATACAATCCTTGAGATGTCTTTCAATATTTTTTTCTGGGTTCCTGTCTCGTTGAGGTAAACTCCACATCTCCCTTTTTACATAATAAATCTGTTCATTAATCTTTTAGTCTACCTCTGCATACAAAATTTCTAAAAATTAATTATCTGATTGCAATAAGGTAATAGTTTCAAAATTTCCATACCCTCTACCAACCAAGTCATTTTCAATTGATTTTTATAGTATGTTCTAATTTTATACTGTGTTAACACTGTCCCAGTAAAGGCGAGGGCTATAATTGTCTACAAACATTATAACCTCACAATATTCTTTATGTCCTAAATAAGGACCCTGCCATAATTGTCAATTATTAATTGTTATTAGCTTAAAAATCAAACTGCTGATTTTGTCTTTTGGGTGGATTCACATTTTATTGTAATAAGCCATTTCAGTTTACTCTACAGTATGGGTTTGCTCATTTGTTATATTGTGCTCTGCAGATGTTTACATTCTAGTCCTACTGTCTGATAAATAGTTGTTTCATTGGCACTCATACCAAATGTCTTTACTTTTATAAAGATAAAGTGGTCGTTGTAAGATAATTTTTATTTTCCTTGACTTACCAAAGAAGATTTATACAATGTTAATCCTATGTTACTTGGTGCACCCGAAGAGTTACCACAGAAAACATTTCCATCCACTTCTACCAGACTTCCATTGTCAAACTTTTCCTGAGGGTATAGATCTATGTCGTTCAGTGATGTTGCTTTACTCCTACAAAACATAAAAGGCATTACAGACAATAGTGGAATTGTATTTTTAAGTCTAACTTGCACACAACTAGAAGTGAGAGCAGTACAAGACTCACATATACACAAGCAGTTGGACAATGTACACATTTTATTTCAACACAACCAGCAGTCAAGGATCAGGTTAAAGTTCTTACTAACAAACAACCAGCTGTTGGATTATGTACAATAAAAAATTGAGAATGGAAATGGGGAATGTGTCAAAGAGACAACAACCCGACCATAGAGCAGACAACAGCCGAAGGCCACCAATGGGTCTTCAATGCAGCGAGAAACTCCCGCATCCGGAGGCGTCCTTCAGCTGGCCCCTAAACAAATATGTATACTAGTTCAGTGATAATGGACATCATACTAAACTCCAAATTATACACAAGAAACTAAAATTAAAATGATACAAGACTAACAAAGGCCAGAGGCTCCTGACTTGGGACAGGCGCAAAAATGCGGCGGGGTTAAACATGTTTTTTGAGATCTCAACCCTCCCCCTATACCTCTAGCCAATGTAGAAAAAAACAAACGTACAACAGTACGCACAGTAAAACTCAGTTTAAGAGAAGTCCGAGTCCGATGTCAGAATATGAAACAAAAGAAAATAAACAAAATGACAATAATACATAAATAACAACAGACTACTAGCAGTTACTGACATGCCAGCTCCAGACCTCAACTAAACTGAATGAAAGATTATGTCTTCATCATATGAATATCAGGCACAATCCCTCCTGTTAGGGGTTTAGTATTATACCGTCATAAAATATATGAGAAGAACATAACCCGTGTCATGCCAACACCTGGTTTTAGAATAAATATGTTTAATTCCGATGCAAGTGAATCAATATTAAAGCCAAAATATGCAATTTTAATGACCTGACAACAGTATTGTAACTATATCCCTTCTTAATAAGTCTGTTTAAAGTTTTGTTAGCTTTTGAGGTGAATACTGACATTTTTGTGCTTTGTAAAGAATATTACCATAAAAGATTGGATGTGAAATACCCGAACGTATAAGTCTTGTTTACACACAACCAGTAGTGGGATTTTGTACAAATCTTGTTTACAAACAACCAGCAGTGGGATTATGTACAAGTCTTGTTTACACACAAACAACAGTGTGATTATGTACAAGTCTTGCTTACACACAACCAGCAGTGGGATTATGTACAAGTCTTGTTTACACATATCCAGCAGTTGGATTATGTACAAGTCTTGTTTGCACACAACTGGCAGTGGGATTTTGTACAAGTCTTGTTTACACACAACCAGCAGTAGGATTATGTACACACAACCAGCATTGGGATTATGAACAAGTCTTGTTTACACACAAACAGCAGTTGGATCTGGTACAAGAATTATTGCTTAAACAAACCCAGTAGTGGGATAGATTAAATTTAAATCTTACATGCCAACTTTCAGCTGTGTGATTTTATTTTTACTTACACACCTGTGGTCGATCAAAGGGGAGGGTTCAGGGGGTGGAACCCCCCTTTTTTTTGTCCATCATTGCATTTGAATGGGGACATATGATTGGAACCCCCCCCCCCCCCCCTTTTTATCCTGGTTTGGGAACCCCCCTTTTAAGAATGGCTGGATCCGCCCCTGCACATAATTTAAAGTGGGATAAGGTGTTAGGCTTACTTACACACAACCAGCAATGAGATTTACCATTATATTTAAATCTTACTCACAAGCAAACAACTGTGTGGTTTTATTTTTACAAACACACAACTTAAAGTGGGATTAGGTGTCAAGTCTTACTTACACACAACCTGCAGTGGGATTAGGTATTAGTCTCCTCATACGATCAGATCCCAAAATGTAATAGTTAGTACTTGTGGAATCTTTTATTAGTCCTCCCGTGATATGAGAATCTTTCACAACTATTTCCTGAACTCCTGGGACTGAACTGTCTATGGTTACTCCATCTGAACAAACTGGATCTGAGGGATCCAGAGCTCTGTTATATGCTACCACAGTGAAATAATAAGTCCCATCACCACTTGTAGTATGGCTGCCAAAGGTGTTGTAGGTCTCTACTAGCTGAAATGATAAAATAACTGGCTGTAAACTCTGTATTCTTATCTGCATGACAAAACACTGATTTTTTAATGTTTTGATGAAAGCTTATAATTTCTTCATACTGATGAAGTTTCTATAGACATATTAACAATTATATGCAAATTTGTCCCCCATTACTTAAAATCACACAAAGTTCCCATAAAATTTAAAATCACAATTTAAAAAATTTGACGTCATAATTTAAGTGATTGTTGCTTGACGTAAGATTGTTTTTCGAAGTGAGATCTAAGGTCATTTGGAGACAAAATTCAGCGAAATACCAGAAGTGTAAATACACATTTATTGTTCCCATCATTTTACAATTTACCTCTACAATAACAACCTTAGCATGGTCTAGAGTCATCTGTTAGAAATTTCTTATTCTAAATATTAGCTCAATGTTGCGATTACTGTGAATTTAATATTATTCTTGAAGTGGATGTCATGGGTATAGGTAAACCAGAAATTTAAGTGTACGCAACTATTAGTACAAATTTCATAAAGGGTTGTATGCAGAATTATTCAAATCCCTGACTTCAAGATTCTAAAAAAGTACAATTTTTCCTCCATGCACAAAAAATGAATCCGCAGTATAGGTCTGTTAACACAAAAGATGCTTTTCTTGATAAACTTATTGTCAAACTCTTGTACATTAATTTCTATACCAGGTTACATGATCATTTTAATAGATAAGCTACATTCAAAGAAGTAGAATGAGACATAACTCATGATCATGAACATTTAAGTTTGGTTAAATTTAATGATTGATTCTTAAAGAAACATCAACACTGAATGGTTATTTTGTGTTGAGGACAAATAGTGTCCTTGTGCATGTTGCTTTGAAAAGTAGATATATATGTTTAAATTTATATACTAAGTTCTGTATCAAAGAACACCAACATAGCCTACCTGGTTTCTGTATGTGCCTGTCCCAAGTCATGAGCCTTTAATTTAGTGGTTGTCTTTGGTTGCTCTGTACTATTCATTTTTATTATCTACTTACATTTGAGTTTGTTCCATTAAGAGTAAAATCATTCTTGCCAGCACAATTAGTACCAACTATATATTGGTAGAAAAACACCCCACTTTCTCTATCAAAAAACTCTTCCCAGTATGCCTTAAGGTTTGTTCCTTGTTGATAGTCTATCTCTGGGTTACCTTTGATACCATCATGCACCATTCCTGAATGAGGTGGGCTTATATCAATTGTTATCTGCAAATATTTTCAAAATATAATAAAAGGAGCTGGTACATTAATGGCAATTTCTCCAAGAGACGTTATCTACATGAATTGTGGACAATAATTTAAAGACAAGAAATAGTGTTCAATGGCCAAAGATATCAATGTCAACTACTATTCAAAGAGTTAACCATAGAATAAATCTACTTCATTTAAAAATTATGAACCTAATAATTGGTAAATGTAACTGTAGGGATTTCAAAAAATTCGGTTGAGGAAAAACTCATTCTGTTCCCACAACACCTAATTGCTAATATATTTCTTACAAATGCATCAATATGAAAAACACATGCATGATAAAATAATAGTAGATAAGTAACAGACCTTTTTCTTTAATACAGTTGTAATTTTAGCAATATTTGTGACAGAAACTTCAATGTAATAATCATATTCATGCATTCCTTTATCTTTATTCTGCAGCAGCCCTCCAGATAGCTTGATTTCTGGTTTAATCTGGAAATGGCGATGAAAACATCCTTGAAAGGGTGTACAGTAACAGTTAGCTCCCCTGGCATAAGAACCATATTTACTGTTACAAGATGATAAATCCTGAAAAGACAATCAACATGTCTTAAATAACAATTTACAACCCGAAAAGCACAGAGTCTCATTTTACTTAAACACATTTCTGAACACCTTTTTAATAACCAGTTCATTTTTTTTTCTAACAAAATCTGCAAAAAAGAATTAAAATGAATTAAAAGAATTAAAATGATTTTTTTGTATTGTGAGTTACTTCACATATACTTATATATATATATATATTCATCCCTGCCTGTTGTATCTATTGAAAATAAATATTAATTAGACACACATTTTATAGTAACAAGAGTGTAGTCAATTGACATATTAGAAGATTGTACCTTCAGAACATGGGTAATGATTTAAATATCGTACAACCAGGTATTTAGGTCAACTATTTTTATTCCCTGATTATGGTACTGATTACAATAAGTCAACATTGGTCTTATTTGAAACTTACAGAAGCTGATCCTTGAGCGATGATATCTTCATATCCATGTACATCCCCAGTCTTATGGTCATACAACTTCCAATTCACAGAGTCCATGCCACTGTGCATGTCATAAGCTTCCCATTCTATCCTGTTGAATGTAAATAAAACTAATCAGATATTCAATGTCTGCTGTTTCATATGGCTTTAACAGTTCTAATCTAATTATAAATAAATTTTCTGAATTCATACTCTGCAGGTATTATAAACCTTCCACTTTTTCATGAAAAATAAAGAGTGTTAAATCAATCCATTCTTTACGGAAATTCATGTGTTTTTCAAGTGAAATTCACATGAAACTCACATGAAATCAGTTGATGTGTGTTTCAAGTATAAGCTTGTTTGAGGTGAAATTCATCTAAGATTTACATCAATCTCAATTCATATGAAATTCACATGAGTGAAATTTCCGTTTTTATCACGGCAGCCAGAAATAAAAGATATAACGACTTACGTCATTTGGGTAAAATCTTCCAAGCTATGTACACTGATGTTCAATCTGTCACCTTTTGTCAACCATAGATTTTCTAATAGAGGTGGTGTGGCATCTCTGTAGATGACAATAGTCTCTTGGTTAGATTCACGAAGAACATCAAAAGCTTGAACTGTTGAGGTCAGACGATCTCCATCAGCCCAATTTAATGTTAGGATGTCATACTGGTTCTTTAATTGAGATATTGATGTTAGAGCACGTGAATCCTTCAGAGTATTGGGTGCACTATGAACCTCATATGACACTTGGAAATCAACAATGGCTGTAAAAATAATAGTAATAATGCTTTAAAGTAACTAACTGGAAGTGTTTAACGACCTTGACTGGATGTACATCCCTTGCACGGTAGGTGCTTTCAAGTATATCAAATTGTAGCCAATACATTTGTAAAATAGCAGGAAACAATCGGTCTAGATCTTTAAAGAAATGGACAAATTTCGAGGGGATTTGTAATTCATTTGTAAAACGTTTCAATTAAATGAAGATAATAATGTGTTTTATAATATTTTTATTCCTGATTCATACAAATACAGAATATGTTTTGTCTGATTCAGTTGTTTTCAGCTTTGCCATTTAAGGGGAGATAACTCAGATTAATTTATTTTTATAAAGGAATGTTATGAATTTACTTATTTTGTTTTCGAGCAAGAAAACGACTCCCTTGACCCCAATTTTTCTTTTTGTTTTCTAAAACCTTATTATAAGAGCTATCTTCTTTTCTTTAAATTCTATGGTTTAGTTTTCTTGTTATTACACAAAACAGGAGTTTCCTTGCATACTCTATACAAAATCTGCCAATTTTGCACAACTTATAGCTTGAAACAAGTCATGTGACCCATATGCTCTATTTCATTTTTGCAAAAAGCATGATATAAGTTACATTTTGGCAAATTATCAACAAATCTATGGATATTAATTTAGACCCTATCTATACCTAAAGTAAACATAAATGATCAGTTACACTTCAAATTATGTCCATACTCAAATAAACCTATCAAAATTAGTATTATGTCACATCAAAAACAAATTCTTATGATGTCAAATTGGCTGTTTTAGAATCAAACCGTTATATGAAATTTCATTGTTGAATTGTACTCCAAAATAAAACAAGAGTGCACACGCTGAAATGTCTCGCCTTCTTTACTAATCATTGATATTATGTTGATAGTCCTAAATATAAAGCTTTATTACAACTGTCACATAAACTTAACATTAACCAAGTAAACTAAACATTGACCAATGAACCATGAAAATGACGTCAAGGTCAGATGAACCATGCTAGGCAGGCATGTACAGCTAACAATTCTTCCATACAACAAATATAGTTGACCTATTGCTTATAGTTTAAGAAAAACAGACGAAAACACAAAAACTTAACACTGAGCAATGAACCTTGAAAATGAGGTCAAGGTCAAATAAAACCTGCGTAACTGACATATAGATCATAAAATATTTCCATACACCAAATATAGTTGAACTATTGCATATAGTATTAGAAAAAAAGACCAAAACTCAAAAACTTAACTTTGACCACTGAACCATGAAAATGAGGTCAAGGTAAGATGACACCTGCCAGCTAGACATGTACACCTTACAATCATTCCATACACCAAATATAGCTGACCTATTGCATGCAGTATTAGAAAGAAAGACCAAAACTCAAAAACTTAACTTTGACCACTGAACCATGAAAATGAGGTCAAGGTCAGATGACACCTGCCAGCTAGACATGTACACCTTACAATCATTCCATACACCAAATATAGTAGACCTATTGCATACAGTATAAGAAAAACAGACCAAAACACAAAAACTTAACTATAACCACTGAACCATGAAAATGAGGTCAAGGTCAGATGACACCTGCCAGTTTGACATGTACACCTTACAGTCCTTCCATACACCGAATATACTAGACCTATTGCTTATAGTATCTGAGATATGGACTTGACCACGAAAACTTAACCTTGTTCACTGATCCATGAAATGAGGTCGAGGTCAAGTGAAAACTGTCTGACGGGCATGAGGACCTTGCAAGGTACGCACATACCAAATATAGTTATCCTATTACTTATAATAAGAGAGAATTTAACATTACAAAAAATCTGAACTTTTTTTTCAAGTAGTCACTGAACCATGAAAATGAGGTCAAGGACATTGGACATGTGACTGACGGAAACTTCGTAACATGAGGCATCCATATACAAAGTATGAAGCATCCAGGTCTTCCATCTTCTAAAATATAAAGCTTTTAAGAAGTTAGCTAACGCCGCCGCCGCCGCCGCCGCCATAGCCGCCGCCGCCGGATCGCTATCCGTATGTCGAGCTTTCAGCGACAAAAGTCGCAGGCTCGACAAAAACCTTCTGGTCATAAGTTGATTTTGTAAATTTTGGATTGTTTGTAATGTTGATAGCTTATCACAGCCTATTATTGTTCTAACTTAAGGCATTTGAAAATATTACCTAGAATGCATTTGATTCTAAAGCGCCAAATTCAAAAAGACTGATAAAAAATCTTAAATTTTAAAGATCTAACTGTATTATCAGTGTAAAATTCATTTAATTTCAAACAGATAGATTTGTAATGTTTCCATCTTAAACAACTTCTATAGATAAAAA